GATGATTACCTGTGTAATTAATATTATAATATTTTTTTATGTCGTATATCATTCGCATTTCTAAAATAATAACCAAAAAAATAAAATATTATTCATTATAAATAAAATAAAATAGAATTAAAGCTTCGGAACTAGGAAAATCACTCAAGAGCAGTAATAATGAATTAAGAAAATGAAAATGTATTTTCTAAAATTAGCAACAGAATTTTGAACACTAAATTAATTTTGAAATTTTGATCATATGCGAAGCGTCATAAAAATATCAAAGTTGTAAAAGTATTTTTTTAATGATCGAATTTATTGAAAACATCTCAACACCATGTTATTTGATCACATTTAATAGGTAGCGCGGAGAACGTTCTATTGTATATTGAATCACTTTTCTACAGATGATCATATAACATCGTTACAAGATTTTGTATTCATATGAGAATACCAAGGGGAATTAATCATGTAGTACTTATTTTTTCTCCAAAACCAAAAACTAATTCTGATTATGTACGTTCTTGGAATATGTATAGTATAAACTAGAAAAACATTTTGACTTACACTTATTTTGATTTGAAAAATTTTTTTTTTGTTATATATTGAAAATGAGCAGAAAATAGTTTGAAGAATATCGATCTCATATACATGCTTTCTTCGATTCGAAGAAATTAGCATTATTATTTTAACTTTTGGTTAGGAATATTCACAAAAGTTTAATGAGCTTTTTTTGTATAGATCAAAATTTTTTAACAATATCTTCTCTTTCCGGCTCATTGTACGAGAAAAGTAAATATATACGAATTAAACTACAGAGAATTTCCTATAATTAATTTAATAATCTTTTTCGTAAACTCAATAGTTTTAACGCGCGGGCGCGTCAAAGTCTTTGCTGCTCGCGCCGTCATATCAGACCTCCTTGTATTTGACCGCTCTCTGTACTTGACCACATTCTCTCAAATAAATATCTTTGCTTTAGTATTTAGTAACTAGCGACATAATATCAATGCTCCTAATAAGCTAAGGATCCCTAGGCGTTCTAAGCGCCTAAACATTATCGGCAAACTATTCTAATCACTTTGTGAGTACAGTGTATGTGGCCTAAATGTAGCCATTGCAAATCATTTTACTGAAAAACAGAAGAACTAAATAATTACAATTCAAATCACATAATTACTATTATGTGAAATAGGCTACATTTTCAGATTCATAATTCTTTCTCGCATAACTTTTATACCAGTGTCAAATCCCTTAATACACAGAAAGTCAATTGAAGTTAATTTATGCAATGGTTGGTTGTTCTACACACCCATTCAGCAGCTAGGTTATACGTTACAAAACTAAGATACTTTGAATATGAAAAATAAGATATCTATTCTTCTGCGAATAGACGTCGAATATAGTTGCTTTTTAAGTATAAAAGTAACTAAAACAGTGTAAAAAATGAAGCCAATCTTTCAAATTTTATTTGTTTTTTGTACAGTGCTTGCAATCATCATTGCGATTACTACAACTTTGGTCTGGCCGTGAGTTTTGATTACATGAATATTATTTGCATATGATTATTTCGTGCAAACATAATTGCGGTGTACGATATTATACTTTCATCTTCACTTTATTTCAAGTATCTACTTAATCATGCTACACATTCATTTCATTGCGGAATATAAAGCCACAACAGTTCACGTGAGGTCATCCAAATATCTATTGCTTTTTATTTGCTCTATTTGTATCTGCAGCAAGTATTTAGAAAAACTTATTGATTCTGTAATTTTGACCTTTTTAAATGGAATACATTTTTACTTCTAAACTCGGGGTAATACCAACAGTAAGTGAACATCAGAGAGTACATCAGAGTGCACATGATGCACAAGAATTGAAATATTATTTGTTTAATTGATTTTAATTATATATATAATATAATATAATTATATATCTGAATACATTCTTGGTTGGCATGTCAGATTGAATTTTTACGGTTTATTTTAGGTACAGAAAATTAAATAATTGCTCACTTAATATATAATCGAGACACTAATGTGCGTTTGTGGAATCATCAAATTGTCTTACATTTTAACCAATATATAAACAACAAAAATGGAATCGAACAGTAAACCAACATAAATTCCAAAACTACGAAGGACCGTTATTGGATCGAGCAAATATAGAGATACCTCGCGAAGAAGCATATCATCGAGATTTGACAAACATTAGTTTTTGACATCAAATTTTAGGGAAAAAAATAATAGTAATAAATCGTAACAAATATGTTATTTACTCGTTACACTTACTGCTAGATATATATTTATATATATATATATTTATATATATATATATATATATATATATATATATATATATATATATATAGAAGCTCGTTGAATTTGCATTTTTCTAGAATGCAAATTATGTTGACTTTTTTTAGTAATAAAGAATTAGTAACATTCATTAATGCAACGTTATAAAACGACCACAACATTTAGTGTGATAAAAATTTAAGATAATAAATGTTGTGCGAAATAGCTCCAATAATATTTGTTTGACTATAATTTATAAACTTGTATTATTAGATCTTATTTTTAAGTCGATGAGTAAAACAGTTGTCAGCTACCTACTAATTAATTCTAGATTAAAACAAAAGCAAACTTTAATGTTGCATATTTTATTGTCTATATAAAAATATATCTTGATGCCTTATTTAACGATATTGAGAGAGTAAGCATTTATGAGATATAAAAGAATAAATAACTTTAGCAATAGGAAATGAATTACTAGCAATTAATTGAGGAAAGTACGCGTGCAAGAATACCTATTTACTCGTATGAAGTCGTTGTGCAGTGTCATAAAATGCACATATGAATAGAAATTAATCTATAGACAATCATATAAACACGTGCTAAACTCACATCTAAATTATTTGAAACTCGTCCAAAATGACCTTGTACACCTTTTTTGAGTATCAATCAAACCTATTGTTTATTAGAATTCAGCCCAACGTGACCATTCTCTAATTAATAATATTTTTTTTCGTTTGATATCATATTTTAAATCAATAATCACAAGTGAAAATCTAAAATCACTAATGTTTCACAACAATCCGGCCGAATTGGGTATCGGACTCTTACCACGCAGGCAAACAGTTCTAAAGTTTGCTTCCTGTTTTGAATTAAACGAGTGAACTGTTTTTAGATTCTGATCTAAATGCAAATAATTTAAAACTTTATTTACATTATTAGAATGAATCTGTTGGTAAAATATAAGTGTTATATATTGTAAATGAATAAACATATCTACTACAGCTCACCTGATTTGTGTAGCTCCTAACTCCGATATTGAAAGCGTTGCTTGCAAAATTGACTCCAATATCATAAAATTGACATTCATATCAATAATACACATAATATAATAGTTTATTCCTCACCATATCCAGTATCACACCTATTACAGAAATATGAACATAAGTGCGTTATAATACCTTACAATTAGTTTAGACAAATATTTCCCTGAACTCATACTGACATTTTTTCTTGTAAAAATCAAAATATTCTTCAATATTAATTCAAAGATGTGAGTTTAATGTGATGTCTGGTGACATATTTTTCATCTCTACTTTATAACTCATAAATATTATAAATTTACATAACATTGTTTACTTGCTTTTGAGGTAATGATGATGTTCTTCCTACCTTACATAAATTGCTCTCTAAAATAATATAAAAAATAAGTTCCTCTGTGGACTCCACGTTGGAAAACATCGTTTTAAATTGTTTTTTATTTTATTTTAACATAAAAGGTATAAGAAATTCATTCTTGTGATAAAATTGACAGGAAATACGCATAGACATAAATAGTGAAAATTACCGTACATTAACTGTACTCTTTGAAACATTTTTATTAATCCGCAATAAAAAAGTTACGAGAATATTGCGTAACCGCATTAAGCTATTGTAAATTTATTAAACGTGGTCATGGATTAATGAATTCATCCATATCTATAAAATCATTGCCAATGTGACATCGCACTTTTTTGACCTGTCAAAGGCACTGAGATCAGACTAGAGGTAGAAATAATTTCTACCAGCAAGGATTCCAAGTCAACAATTTCTCGATTGTTAATCTCAAATCGTTATATTTTATAAGTAAAATACTATGTAAAACAAGTAAAATTCATTATAATTTAAAATTTTAGGAATGAAAATAGGCTTTAAAATACAAATAAGAAAATACAGAAAAATCATCAAATCATCTTATAAAAGTCTTATGGATTTACCTATGTTTGCTTTGTTTTGTATGCATTATTAATAAAACCGTTTTTGTCCATGCTATAAAATGGACTTAATAAATATGATGCATTGATATAATATAATTCAGGTTATTTTAATCTGTACGAAATATAGAAGTTTCGCCGACATCTAGTTCGAATTACAAACAATTACTGCCAAGCAAATGTAGTTGTTATTGTTACGATAATCGCGACATGCAACAATGAGCGGGTCAATTGTCTAGATCACTTCCAGCATGCGAACAATGAAAAGTGAAAAAATTATTTTTACAAACTGCATTACAAATTCTCGTAAGGCACACAATCTTAGCTCTAATGAAGTACTAGTAGTACTGCACTGTAGGAGCACATTGAATAATTCATAGTGCTCTCATCACAGTGCCGACATTACGTAATTTTGTGGATCATCTTATGATGGTAGTCTTAAGACTATGGTAATGTGCACCGGCAGATACTTCTTGCGTGGGAGGGGAACTAAGTACCTTCTCTCGAAGATGCGCCACGTGAGGGGCACATTGCATCATATTGGAACCCCTCTATGATGCACTATTAAGCTAAAGCAGTATATAAGCCAGGACCAGGAATTCTGGAGCATCATATTATTCGGTTATTGCATTTACACAGCTTCAAAGTTAATATAAATATTGTTACTTATTTTGTTATAATAAAGAGTTAAAGTTAGCTTTGGATTTCAATTTGATTCAAGTTTCAATTTTACGAATCTTGGTGAAATATGATTGCGGTAAGTGAATACAAAATATCAGTGTCAATCAATAAACTGTAAATATGCAGAATATAAGTCAAAATTATTATATTAAATAGTCTAAGTCATTGGAATGGAACAACTGCATATTGTTGAGATTGTGTATAGCATTGATTATTAAAATTTGAAAATTCCCAATTGTATAAATAGCTTACGGCTACTTTTCACAGTACCAAATTTCATCGTACCGTATCTATATCTTGATGCTGAATTAAGCGTTCAATCAATCGTTTTGAACTTTGAAAAAAATTCCAGAACATATTAAATTTATCCCTATTTTCAATTTAGAATGGAACGATATTTGTATATAATAAATTATATATTATATTTAAATCAAATTAACGTTAAATTTATATGTATATATAAAAATTGGAACTCTCTCTATATATATATATATATATATATATATATTTCAAATAAACAATTGAATATTCTCTTCTTAAAAAAATAATAAAATTCGTTAAACTTCGAATATGAGTTAGCGAGAACCAGAGACTAAAATGAATATTTTACTCAGTGTTGAAGTATAAGGTCATAATTAAAATGAACAAAATTAAAATTAAAAGCGAATTGTTAATAAAAAACAAAATTGAAATGGTATAATTGTATTACAAATCAAAATTTCAATTAATTGTATATGTAGTGTAAAAATATTTTATATTTCTATGAAACTGCCAAATATTTGTCATTTAACGATCTAAAAAGCTCAAATTAGCTAGCAAAATTCTTAATAAATTATTGTAAATTTAAATTATTCTAACAATTTTTTTTAAAATTGATTAATTTATTTAAAACTTTAATTTGAATATTGTTAAGAGCCCAAAAATTCAAAACAAACATTAGAATTTTTATCTGTAGTATTATTAATATTTTTCTTAGATCAACCAATGAATATAGGAATAATACAAATTTACAAAATGTTAATGATAATACTACTAAAATGTTTACTGTAATTCTTATCATTCATCATAGAAAATCATTAGAATCGTAAATGTAATCGATATATATATATATATATAAACCAGTGGAAATAATTTATATGGTCACAACGATTCATTAAAACTTGTATGACAAATGTATGCAATTGGCTCCTTTTACATCTGCATTGTTTCGTCACACTGTAAGCGTATTAGGTGAGAAAGAAACGGAAAGCTAATTAATCCATTTGTATGCCGTTTCGTCCACAATATTTATACAAGAAATTTCACCACCGTCTATTTTTTCAGCCCTTGGCGTTTAGCGTCTTTCTGACGACACTTGCGGCTGTCTCTGCGGAACCACCTGTGAATTCCTACCTTCCACCTGGTTCAGGAGGTGGTAAAAATGGTTTAGGCGGTTCGGCACCCAGTTCCTCTTATGGAGCTCCAGGAAATGGTGCCGGCGGTGGCTTTGGAAATGGTGGTTTATCTTCTACATACGGAGCTCCTAATGGAAATGGAGGAAATGGTGGGTTATCATCTACATACGGAGCTCCCAATGGAAATGGAGGAAATGGAGGCGGGCTCAGCTCCACTTATGGTGCTCCCGGTGCAAATGGAAACGGATTTGAAGGTGCTAGCAATGGTCTGAGTGCCACATACGGTGCTCCAAACGGTGGTGGTTTTGGTGGAAACGGCAATGGCGGTGCCCCAAGTTCTTCATATGGTGCTCCTGGTGCTGGCAACGGAGGAAATGGAGGCGGCCGTCCATCATCTTCTTACGGTGCACCCGGTGCTGGTGGATCAGGCAATGGATTTGGGGGAAGACCAAGCTCATCTTACGGAGCACCTGGGAACGGTAATGGTGCTAACGGGGGCCGAGGCGGCCGACCCAGTTCAAGATATGGTGCACCGGGCAATGGCAACGGTAACGGTAATGGCAACGGAGGTCGACCAAGCTCCTCTTATGGTGCGCCAGGTATGTTATTGCAGTTATTAGATAATGTTATGAGAGCAAAAGTTGAAATATGAATATATTTAGGATCTAATGGAAATGGTGGCCGACCGAGCTCGTCATACGGAGCTCCTGGTTCTGGAAATGGTTTTGGGGGAAATGGCGGTAGGCCTAGTTCATCCTATGGAGCTCCAGGGGCTAACGGAAATGGAAACGGCGGTGCTATTGGACAGCCTAGCTCTTCTTACGGAGCTCCAGGCCAGAATGGTAATGGTGGCGGCTTAAGTTCAACATATGGAGCACCAGGAGCAGGCAATGGTGGCTTCGGCGGTAACGGCGGTGGTCTCAGTTCTACATATGGTGCACCAGGATCAGGCAACGGTGGCTTTGGAGGTAACGGACTTAGCTCTACGTATGGCGCTCCTGGATCCGGAAATGGAGGCTTCGGTGGTAATGGAGGTGGGCTGAGCTCAACATATGGCGCACCTGGAGCAGGTAATGGGTTTGGAAATGGTGGTGGATTAAGCTCCACATACGGAGCACCTGGTGCAGGCGGTGCTGGGGGCGCTGCTGGTTTTGCGGGCGGACTCGGTCAAGCAGGAGGCGCTGGAAGCTTTGGATCTAATGGCTTTGGCGGCAGCGGCTTTGGAGGAGACGACGGAAGCAGTGTAAGTTTTGTCAAACGTGTACTATCATAATCTATTACTTTCTAATCAAATTAGTTAACTTTTGGTTACAACATCTTTAATCGTAAAATTCATGAAATTTTGCGCCAATGATTTGAGAGTGCAACACTGCGTTCCGATTTTATGTACATTTTATGGATCGTTAATTACTTAATCAATGCTTTCACTGTTAACAAGGACGTAATCTCATCATTTCTAAATCTTATTCACATTATTTAAGTACTAAAGCCAATTTACTAAAGTCACACACATATATGTGTATCACACACATATGTGAACAGAAATGACATAAATATCGTATTACAATATATTTGCATTAATTTGATCGAGTTTATTTAACTGGATAAATGTATTGAACTCCATATAACCAACAAACACAGATCAAAAGCAACTATTGTTTTGTTTTGTTCGGGTCACAGTGCTATATTTAAAAAAAGAATTTTTTTTTTATTTTTAACAATTTTAATTAGTTTGCTTTAATCAGATTTTTAAATATTTTTTCAATTTCAAAAAATTGTAGTCCTAGCAAATCGCGCATAAAATAATATATATATATATATATATATATATATATATATACACGTATATATATATAGGTGTGTGTATGCATATTTATATATCTATATTATTGAATAACATGATTAAATAAATAATTTAAAATTGAATAATCGAGGTAATAAAAAATGTAACAGTGTAATTGAGATAAGTCATCTGTTGAAAGTAATCAACTATTCTGTGGAATCTAATGACCCTCATCGCTATAATACGTGCCAGTAAAAACTGCATCGCCATAGCTGTCCTATTGTACATAAATTAACTTGTATTTAAATAAGATTAATTCTCAGGAGCCGGCCAAGTATGAATTCAGTTATGACGTGCAGGATCCCGAAAGTGGAAACAGTTTTGGGCACTCAGAATCACGAGATGGAGATTTAGCAACAGGTCAGTTCAACGTGTTGCTACCAGACGGAAGGCGTCAGGTTGTAGAATATGAGGCTGACGCTGACGGTTTCAGACCACAGATTCGTTACGAAGGTACGAAACGCGGTTCAAATTTTCAAAAAAAAAAAAAAAGTAAGGAAAACAATGCTGCTGCTTCATCCGAGAGCCACTATAGAAACTGAAATCATACCATTGTATGAAACATAGTTACGTAATATTTTTCACTTAAACTCAAGTAGATGTCGCAATTTGGTTTTATTACATTTGAAGGAAAAAAATTATTTCGTTTGACTACTGAAATTAAAAATATTGAGGCAGCATATGAGATTCGTATAAGTAATTTGTTACTTCATTTCGGCAAAAATATACTATTTGATTGTGATTTTTATGAAGCCTTGGCGAAATAAGAAATGTTAATTTTACAAAGCCAGGAGTACAATTTAAATTTTATTTTAATTAGGGAATAAACTATTCAGTTATATCCCAAAATACAAAATAAATCTTTAGTACATATTTTAATTAAATAAGTGTAATTGTCAACTAATTAAACTGATAGCATAAAATCATTTCTACGTGGCTCTTGCTCAAAGCGCGGCTAGGGCGGTAGTAGGTCGCGGGTAGGTGCCGGAAAAGGATGGCGTCTAATCATCTACTAACGGGAACTAAATAGGTAAAGTAAAAATTGTAACAATATTCTAGTGGTGAGATTTTGTAGTTACATTTTATTTGTATTATTTGACTTAACAATACAAATAATAATAGTTTTAAATTGTTTGAGGTAAACGTATTAGGGTTTGAACCATGAAATTATATACCTATATATATAAATATATATATATATATATATATATATATGTGTGTGTGTGTGTGTTTGTGTGTGTATGTGTATATCTACACAATCATATATTAATAAGAAGTTCTTATTTATTATATCCCCTTATGGCTAACAATTTATATATTTACCACAATATGCTAATTTTTTATCCAGGTACTACTAATGCCATTACGATTGGTACGTATGCTTTCTAACGACGCTTAACGCAAATTAGTTGAAACTATTAACAATTAATTTCCAAATTTATGAACATACATTATAATTTCCATAACAATACTAATTCTCATACATTACTAAATAATATTCTTTAACCAAAATTATTTACTGTTTTGAATTATTTGTGCATGATCTTTGAAAATTCGAAATAATTTATATAACGGAATAGGAAAATGTTCTATTACTGCTCTAATTAAAGCTATTTGGTATATTTCGGTATGAAATATTTGTTATTACCTTTTTATTTATTGCTCACCGGAAACGTATTAAATGCAGATGAAGGATTTGGCAACGGTGCAGGAGGTGCTGGTGGTGCAGGCGGTTACGCATCTGGAGGCCCTGGCGGTGCTGGCGGCGCAGGTGGCTATCCAGGAGGCGCTGGAGGCAAGATTATTATTAATGCAATTTAGTTCAAAATTTATAAAAGTTTGAAAACAAAACATTATGTTTAAAGTGTGAAGCTCTACTGTTAAAATAAACGGTACTAGTTTAGTTACGATAAAGTAATAATCAAGGATAACAATGTAGATTACAGTGACTATGCGGATCATTCTCAAATGAGTATTAACTTAATTTTGTTATTTAGTAACAAAATCCATTACAAATTACATGATCCATTACATTAGTTACAAATTATTATTTATAATCTAATAATATTTGATTATAGCTGCAAGGTATTATCTATTTACTAACGTTTCAATACTTGCTTCATCAGGTGCTGGAGGCGCAGGTGGTTATCCGGGTGGAAGTGTTGGAGGTGCTGGAGGATATCCCGGTATATATGGCACATTTGCATTGTTTTAGATTTATTTCCTTTGCCACTTATTAATATATTTACATGAATTGCCTTTCCTTGATTTTCTGTAAAGAAAAATAATTTCAAACAAGTTTCTGAAAAAATAAAGTCGGGAACAAACTTGACAAATCTCTCATATCTGTTTCATATAGATATATATAATCAGTGTGATCAGTCTAATATATTTTTTTCTTCATTAATATATTTCTAAAATATATCATAACAGAAAGTAAAGCATGAATTAGACATAGTTGCCTACAAACCTCTTTGATCTTTTGATCATATGGTCATAAAATATATTTTCAACAGGTGGTTCAGGAAGCGGTGTTGGAGGTTATCCAGGTGGATCAAATGGCGGTGCTGGAGGTTATCCAGGTGGATCAAATGGCGGTGCTGGAGGTTATCCAGGTGGATCAAATGGCGGTGCTGGAGGTTACCCTGGCGGATCAAATGGCGGTGCTGGAGGTTACCCTGGTGGCAGCAATGGAAATGGAGGATATTCAAACGGTTAGTACGATTTATTGACGTATAAGTATATAAACAATTATTAATTTATTTTGTATAAAAATATTTTATATTCATTTGTTATGTTGAAAACCAGGAGGATCAAATGGCGGTGGTGCTGGAGGTTACCCAGGTGGCAGTAATGGAAATGGAGGATACCCAGGCAGTTAGTATAAATTAATAGAAATGATGTAATCAGTTTCAAATTAATAATATCTCAGTAAAATCGTTAAGATTCAAGAGTAATTTAGTAATTATTAAATTTCAATTTAATTCATTAATAATTATAATCAGATCACTAATAATTTATAAAAACAGGTGGATCAAATGGAGGCGCTGGAGGTTATCCAGGTGGTAGCAATGGAAATGGAGGGTATCCAGGAGGTTAGTATGAATTTATTAAATATATAATTGGTTTCAAATTGGAAAATTTACAGTAGAAAAAGATATCGGTTTCGATTAAGTTTATTCATTAGCAATATAGCTGTGAATAAAATTTGTGATAATATTTTGAGTACACTTTTATACTTTAAAATAATAAAAAAGGATTAATTGGGTACAACAAATTTAAGTAATAAAATAAATAATTTTTATTAATTAGGAAATGGTAATGGTGCTGGAGGTGCTGGCGGTGCTGAGGGATACGGAAGCGGAAGACCAGCCAATGGAAGTCCTCTGGGGAGCGGATATTAAACAGTTTTTACAATGGACGGAAAAAATTTTAGCTGCAACAATAGAATTGGAAACTGTAATGATGTATAAATTGTCAAAGACACTCTGTGGACTTTTGTGATATACAAATTCATCCGAGAATTATTTATATTGCATTTATAATAAGAATCAAGCCATATTACCTAATCACGTCCAAACAACTAACAATATGATATTTAATTGATGACGAACGGACTCGATAATGGAACCGCTAAACTTCTAGGATAATAATTTTATGTATAGTTATATTTATGAAATGTACATGACGACTTATAGATTAGTAATATTATACTATCATAATAAAAAAACAAATTGGAAAATATAAAATCACTCACAAGCTGTTTAACGATATTGAAAATATTATAAATACGCTACAGTGCATTTATTAGCATAAAATCTTGTACATAAATATATTTAAAATGCGATAAATAAATCGAACTAAAAATATATCTTCTTTTATTGACATTTGTTCCAATCTTTTCTTGATTGAAATAACTCGTATTCAAATATATATATATATATATATATATATATAACGGGTTAAGGGTATAAAATATATCTTACTTTAATTGGAAAGTATGAGCTTTTAAGTGCAAATTAGTGTTTTGGTGAATTTATGACCCTTTTTCGGTTATTGTGGTTAAATTTTATTAATTTTGTTCATTTTAACTTTGAAACCTTAACCGTGAATAACATTTCTAGGACCACCATCAAAAATAATAACACAATTGCGTCCAGTTTTTAAGAATTTAACTTTTTGTTGAACTATGATTTTATAACTTAAAAAATCGGTCGATTTTGAGGGGTCCTGCTTTAAAAAGTTGTGTACCTAAGTGTGTTATCAAGCTTCATCGAAAGTTGGCAAAAGTTTAATACATTTAGTGTTTTATATAGATAATACTACGTAGCATTTATAGTATTTTATTGATAAAAATTAAAATGATTAATTATTGATAACGGGTAATAAATGGAACAATAGAAAATCAAGTCAAATCAAATCAATCAAAACAGAAATATGCCACGTATTCAAAACTAAATATATGAATTTATTGCATAATATTAAATTCTTCAAACACTTACCACTGCAATGTCGTCATCACGCGCTCCAAACACAGAATGATTTGATTCCTCTTTAGGACCAGTTATATGGTGTGAAAATTGCGACAAACCTGTGAATTGTTACCAGGTGATAACAAAATGCATCCATTGTTATGTAATCAAAATAGTTTCTGGATCAGAACTGCTGACAGTGCAATACGAAAAATTTAGACTGATGGTGCGGAGCCAGTTGGATAGAAGGACCTGTGCCAGACCAGAGTACCCAGTCCGTAAGATATGTGCAGTAGTAAAAAAAATATTGATGTTGAGTGTTGCTAGAGTAATTGTTTGTTCAAACGTGTTGAAATCTGAATCAAAAATACAGAGTTATTAGAAGATTTTGTATATATATATATATATATATATATATATATATATATATATATCTTTACGTTTTAAAGCTTTGAAGCTGTAAGCTGTAACTTAGGTTACAGTATTTATAATAATCTATTTGAAAACATTTAATATTGCTCGAATATTTTATTTTGCTACGGAAAGTTCCAGCAATTTGCCGGATCAAATTGTTTGATTCGTACTCTCAAAAACGTGGACAAAAAATTGTATCCACACATACATACATCTATTTTTTCTAAGGTATGCCAGAATGTTCAGAAACCTATAAAACGTAAAGATATGCAAAAAAAATATTTTCGATTTTTGGACCATTACTATAACTTACCCTACTGGTAGTTAAAAATGCTCGTCCAGCTGATGAGCGCCAGACCTCGAGAAGGGTATTTTTACTGGCCCCACTCAATTCATTAATTTTGTTAATGAAGTAATAAAAAGTACCCAGTAAATCGGTTATGAATAGCTTGTGAGCCGGCGTGCTTTCTGCGTGATACATTTACATACATAAGTTTGTAACTAAACATGCCGGTGGAGAACGGCGTGCAGTCGATGGCCGTTTCCAAACCCAGGTTTCTAAACATTTTGGCATATTTTTAAAAAATAGATATATATATATATATATATGTGTGTGTGTGTAATATGTATGTATAAATAAATCTATGTAAAAATAAATAATACACATCAATTGTTTGCACTATCTTTTATTAATATTTCGAATTTTAATTGAATTGTATATGAATAATAACTATTCATATGGTATTATGGCTAAATGACCTAGAAGCACTGTGCAATCGACAGGCCCTGTTAATTTTACAGCTATATCCCTTATGCGAACATCGGAACAGGGAATAACGTAGTATCTGAAAAATAAATTAGTTAATTAAAGGTTCTATCACAAATATATTTAAAATATATTATATCCCAAAGTCACGGCTTTGAGATAAAAGTTGTTCTGTTTACATCACTATATTCAAGCTGTGAATTATCAGAATTTGTTTCTAGTCTAAAAATAAATTGTATGGAAATTTATTTAAAGCATGATTGAAATTGAGTTAAAAGTATAATAATATAATAAGGGAGTATTCTAGTCTAAGAACAAGAATTTTATGGATTTTTTGAAAGGCAAATAAATTTAATATTTTAAGAAGTTAATATAAAACAAATATTTTTTTAAAATTCTGGACCAAAATATTCTCTTACAATATCAGCTTTAATATTATTTTTATTGCAATATTTAATTCCTTAATTTCCATTAAAATATCCTAATTATTTATTTAATAAATATTGAAGTATATAAATATGTATATTGAACTTGCAAGAAATACCTGGTCGTCCAATAATTTCGCGCAGAAAAATAAAAGTATTCCTGTGGATAGTTAATTAGTAAGTATATCAAAGCCGATTTCAGTTGTTCTCCAGTAGAAGGCTTGATTGTAGCCTCACTCGTCGTTATACACTCGAATGGCGTCAGTGATGGCACAGAATAGGTACTAGACCTCATATCTGGTGAATACACATTCGGCAAATTGAATTCCTCGAAGGGATCACACTCATCGTCGGCACCCAATGTCAACTTTATCGTACTACCGTCAGGTCTTTCAGCTGAAATTTTTATTTATTGCAAAACTACTAGAAAAAATACGGATAAAATGACATAGGTCTTATGTAGAAATTAGCTGGTTTCAGTACTGTTTCCATGATTGTATAATGTGACGAGAAAAGATATAATAACAAGCTAGTCAGATGTTGATCGTCATTGTCACAGTCTTGTCGCAGTAATCAGTTCAAACAAGTATCGCAGCTTCAAAAGTTATTATATTGACGGTGGTTTTCTCTTATTATTTGAGCACTTATTAATTGTTATTTGTTATTAGTTTTATTATAAATTAAGAAATTGAAGACAAAAAAGATTGAAGAGATATTTAAAGATTTAAATATAAGCCTTATTAATATATAATAAAATAGACATAAATGATATGTATATACATATATAAAATATGAAAATTGTTTCATTATCTCTTATACTAGACACCCCTGTCTGACTATCTCAGTCAATGAAAATAAAATATCAATCAAAAAAGAAAAAAAAAACAATTAACTTATTTCAGCACAGTAATTTCGATCAATTTTATTGCAATAATTAGGTGTTCGATGAAATTTATGTTATTTATTCATTTTGTTGGCTTTCGGACAAAATGATATAATAAACATTTTATTACATTTTCTACTTGTTAGACTATGTAATTGGTCAATCGAGACTGATTATAATATCATTAAATAAGTAAATATCAAATCCAAATCGAAACACTATGTCATTTTGTCCGTACTTTCTACTTGGAAGTATGATTGTTGAAATTTTGATAAAACAAATAATAAATCTCTCTTAGCAGATTAATTGATTTTCCTATACACTATTTGGAAAACGATCATATGGGAAAATTAATTTAAAGGTATTATTAGTATAGACTTTTAATTAGTTATAAAATTGGTAGAACTGTACCGTATTTACTTCATTAGTTATTTATGTTTGCAGAAATACTAAAAAATATGTATTATTAAAATGTAAAAAAAAACTACTCTAATTCCGTGCCCATGTAAAAACTAAATCTGAATATTATTTTTGTTCATCTTACCTAATGCCAAGATGGACAGGCATCCGTAAAATATTTTCTTCGTAACGACGATAACTATTGCCGATTTTCTAATCGGCAGATTTGTAACGAAAAGTCGAGTAATGAGATCATCATCAGCAAGCTTTGTAAATCTTAAACATGAACCACCATTGAATGAGTCTGCAAATTCGTATTCTAAGCAACTTGTAGATTGGATGTTGGCAACAGAAAGATCTGATAGAGCATTTGTAGGATTTAGAAACGTTTCTAAATCATAGCGTAATGGACAGAATGGAATGCTTGGCTGAATCTCTTGAGCATTGAGATCGTACCACGGTTGATCGCTAATGTACTACAACAATAAATATAATGTAAAAATCACCCTTGGGCTATCAACTTTTCTTTTGATAGTCTTGGTTAAATAATAAAATAATTCACGCCAAATGATTCAAATTTTTGTTAAATGAAGCGTGTAAAAAGTATGTAATGATATCTTATTGCATAATACGATGCATCAAATTATTTTTAAATAATTCAATAAGAAAAATAGAAAATCAATTGAAAATGAAATATAGGAAGTATTAAAATAGTGATTTACCTTAAATAATTCTAATTGGATAATATAAAAATTTTAATTGATTAAAGTACATCAATTTTTTTAATGTCTAATAATGTATAATAAATAATAAATAATAAATTATTAATGTCACTAATCAATAATAATTTTACAATATGTATTGTGCTCTATAAAATAAAAAAAATAAAAAAAATACAAAATATTTATCAACTGTTCCGTTTCTCTTAAATTTACAAGATAAATTCTGATGGACTATAAGCCAATTAAACTTTCTTTAATAATTTTTCACGATAACAACAGCAATGATAGAAAATCTAGTTTCAAGTAAAAAAGTAAAAACTCAGCGCAAGAATGTAAATATTCATTACTCATTGCGCGTTTAAGTAACATTTATTCATTTACTAAATCATCAAAAATGATCCTATTCAAGTGTTGTATCGCAAATATTACGTACCTCAGCCTTTCTATTGCGATATAACCCACTTCCTTGACAAAATGAAGTGGCGAATGGAAGTTGAACAATTTCATGTGTCCTGTAATAACGCCATATCAAACTCCAAAACAAATCTTCGCGTGCCAGAAATAAATCCAAATGCGCTTGATCATTTGCAACATTTTTCTCTGGTAAAGGAGTTACAGACATGGTATCAGAACTTTGGCTTGTTGATGACATATTCAAGCCTGCCTAAAATATTAAAAACAATACTTTATATTCATGTAATACTTTTTTACACAAAGTTTTCACAGCAATCAGAACAATTATATGTTCTATAAGCTATGCCGAGTTCTGCTTATTACTAAGAACGACGTTGCAGGCAATCCAGCGATTGTCCTTACCCTATCTGAGATATAGTTATATTTCCCCTAACTCCCTGGCTGTCTTTCTAATTGGGATATTGCAACAATGACAGACAAAAACTGTTTTCACTTTGAAATATTGATAGCAATATGTTTCCACGTGAAAACCCCATTGTCATTTCTGCTGTACAACAGACCGCACGAAGCGGGATCTCTGAATCGAGTCTCGTCGCTCTTAATCTACAGGCGGCACGGCCCGGCACGGCACGGCACAATAGGCACTATTACATTTAATATGGAAAATCTATTATTCATTTATTGTTTTTCAAATTGGGTGAATATCAAATCTAACCTGAACAATTGCCGATGTTCTGCATATGTTCAAAATATTGTTTGCAGTGCTGACAACTTGTTGAAGAACACCAGACTGCGGTATATTTTTGCAAATAGCTTCATGTGTCCAACCAGGAGCAAATAGCGCTGTAGAAAATCCATATTTGTGCACCATGTCTATTGCCTAAAAAGTTAATCATGACTTACATAAATTTAAGTTGTATCCGATATAGAAAAAGATTTCCTTGTACTTAGAATTCAACGTATGGACTGGATGTAAAATGGCAAGAAAACAAAATAAGCAAGTCAGATTTTTCAGAAAACAAACTTCTTTTTCGAGAACTCCGTACTGTTGTAAAAAATAATAAATAATATACACAATCTAATTGAAAACGATTTTATATACAAAATTCATTTATTAATAATAAACTATTATAAATATAATTTCAGAAAACAAACTTCTTTTTCGAGAACTCCGTACTGTTGTAAAATAATAAATAATATACACAATCTAATTGAAAACGATTTTATATACAAAATTCATTTATTAATAATAAACTATTATAAATATGTTTACCAATTGCGTTTTGAATCCTCCACCACCATACTGGTTTCTCCCAAAAACATCGACACCGACAAAGACCTTGTATGCAGATCCAGAACCACAAGCAGTCAGAGATCGCTCTAAATTGTGTTCTTTCCATGTGTAATTCAAAAATATTCCATCACAGACATCATAAAATGATCTATGAAAAATCAGAATCTTTACTTCCAAAAAAGTCTCAATATATTTTTTCTGATGCATAATATTTCATCCTCTAAACATTTAAAATTAAACAGTGAATCGTTAAAGGATATTTTATAAAAAATAATAATAAGTAATAAACATAAACTTCTCGAATTCTTTTTGCTAATTCTTATGCTACAAGACCAGCTTAAAGCCATTAAAGTTATGGCGACGAAACATTATCAATAATCACCGTTTTTTCTTCATAGCTTTCAAACATATAAGCGCAGAATTGAATATTTATTGCTTATATATATCAAAGTTGGTAAAACAAAACTAAAAACTAGCTTTATGGAATAACCTTTGTAATAATAAAACTTACTTATTGTATTCGTTAAGCTCATTTTGCCAATGAAGTTTTCCATCAACGCGGACACTATCATACCATATAACCCGCGCACCTGGAAGTTCGCTATGCAAGGCAGCAGTTAGATTTTGAACAAATTCGCTAAAAGCAACATTGATATGATTAAAAAAAAAATCCATAGAACTCTTCTGCATAATTGGTAAATAATCAATTCACGTTGATTGAGAGTTAAATTGTTAATATAGATATATGTACAAAGAAAGAATATTTGTGAATACTTTGCCTTTTTAAATATGCTACATAAAATCAGTCAGATAATCCAAAAACAAATATTTAATGTGATCTAATATAACGTACATCATTTTGTTTCCATCGGGCAAATTATTTTCTATATTCAGTAGCCACCCATCCAATTTAAAATACTTTGTTATTTGCACTAAAGACTGAATCGTCAAATTCATAGTGTGCGGAGTACTCAGTATCGCCTCACAAATCTGTTGCCCAGAATCCCATTCTGTTATAAATGTACCTGTAATTTCAATTATATCATGCAAAACCATTGAAAATATGTGATAAATTGAATAATTATATACACTTGTTAACACTTACCAAATATGTTAACCCCGTGCTTATGGGCAGCGTTTATCCATCCTAAGGGCGGTATCGTGACAAAATGATGCGAAAAATAAACGAATATATCAACGGCCGACCACCGATAAAATCGATAGGAATGAAATGTTGATGAACCGTTAACAAACCTATTAAACAATAAATATTCAAATTAGACTGTTGTATCTGAAAACATAAATAAATCAAATTGTTAAATATCTGATATTATTAAAAAAGAAGAAAAAAACGATTTGTATGAAAGATGTCTTGATGATGGAGTTCACATAAAAAACATCCTGAAATATTACAGACGTATAACAAATAGTTTTATTTATATTTAAAAATAATCATCTAAGTTTGAAATAATGGAACGCTTTTATTATAATTTGACCTTTTTACGCTTTCTCAAAAACGGTCGACCCGATATGAAAAATTTAAAAACCATTCGATGAAACTCGATAAGAGCTCGCGTTGATTAATTTTGCAGTTTTTTTTTCAGAATCTGCAGAAAATTTTTCGTCAACGTTTTCGCTCCTCCTTAATCGATTTTTATAACCGTTCAGAAGATATCAATAAAGATCGTGCTCATTAGTTTTTGGTAACAATCGGCCGGGCCATTTCTTTGAAATTCATTGATAAGACTTTTGACGATTTTTATGAATTTTTTATGTTATAACTCTGCCTACGACAAGAGATTTAAAGTATAAAAATTAATTAATGTTTGGAATAATGGGATGTCTTAAAATATAAAACTTGCTAACAATAAGTCTCAATTCTCATTAAAGTCGATTATTTACAAATATCAGAAAGTTTCTGCAACTTGTTCTAAGGTAGAATTAATAAAAAAAATAACATATCGCCTTTATCATTAATAAAATATTGAATTTACCTGTCATGAAGGTAGCCGTTCATCATATCATGACAAACAAGTAGTTCGGTTTTCACTACTTCTTTTCCCAATCGGCAATTTCGTAGTCGACGTTCTACATCAGTACGCCACTGGTCCTCCTTAACGTGGCAATAGTAATTCCCAAATGGCACATTGCCAAATGAACCACCCCTTGGAGCTTTTGTAACAGTGAATCTGCCCCACCCGGGCGGCTTCGACATATAAGTCCACAGTTGCTCTAAAGACGTTATGGGTAAACATGATAATTCTGCATCTTCGCCATGTATTCCAGTTGTTAAAGTTGGAGTAGTCATATCAAAAGAACTTAAATACTACTGAAATATTCAATTTTAATTAATAAATCGATTCAACAAAACAAGTAGTACTTTTATCAAGAATGCACCTCTATGTAAAAACAATTATTATTCAACATCAAATATATATTTTCGTCATATATTCCGATTATCTCGCGATTTTGCCTTCACGAGGTTCCAAGTCATTCTAAATCTATTCGTGATAGTTTGCTTCCAGGCAAGTCGCATGAACTTGCTGATATATTTAGGCTTTTAAATTTTGATTTCGGCGCAACCGTTTATTAGAAAAAAAAACACACAAATTGTGATCTCAAATGATTAAAAATTTCTTGAAACGTCGAGAGAACATAAAATTGGCAAGGCGGATCACTTCTCATTCGGAAAGTTAATGCATACGTATTATCTCAATTACCTAAATAGTGTTTCAGTGCTCCATTTTACAGAGGAAACAATACTGGAATGGAAATTAATACTGTACAGCATAGTGCAGTTGCGATAAGAAAAATCTGACTGATTTCATTCAAATTAGTAACATCGTAACAAGTTTTCAACTTATTTATCAAGCATAATACATAGGAACCACAATATTACAACTTAAGTATGGAATTACAAATAGGCGAGTGAAATGATGTAACTTTAAAATATAAATTTACTTTTCTTTCCTATCATATGCATGATTACATTTAATCGTCAACAACTATGATATTTTAAAAATTGATCAAAAAGTAATATTTTTATAATGCTTGCCGTTAAAATTCACTAATAGAAAATTTTGTGAATGACCTAAGTAAACCTTATCTACTAATAAAACTGCTTTAAGTCTTCTCATAATAAAAAAAATAACAGGAGCTTCGGGCCATTTAAAAAAATAGTATTTTTTCAATAGCTTCGGGCCATTTAAAAAAATAGTTTTTTTTTAATAATGGCATATTATATTTTATTTTTTCTACCACTAATATATTTGCTTTGTTTTAAATATATTATTGGTATAAATATATATATTAAACATCATATTAAACACATTGCCATGATATTTTTGCTTCGCTAGATGATTCATTAACCACTTAACGTTCTATCAAACATTCTTTTCAAAATCTATTATGTATATTAGATATGTGTTCAAAAAAGTTTTATGTGTGAATAGTATACACTTACAAATAATTTAATAAGAAATAACATTTAGCTTTTTATCAGATACCGTTTGTTAATTTCTTTCTTATTTTTTAGCATCATTAAGGTAAATTGAGCTCAGTACGAAATTAATGGTAAATGCTATTTTGTAAACAAAACAAATATCAAATATAAAATAATTTTACATATAATCTCGAAACAAATTAATGAAAACATAACATAGCCATCAAGTTTGTTTTGATTTATTACTTTTGATATTTTTAACTTAATGAGATCCTGTTATTATATTATTAACAATACTATTTGATACTTGAAAGATTCGAAGAACTTTAATAAAATTTTTAATTGCGAAATCTTTATGAGAATATATAATAAAATGAAACACTTTTTGCAAAATTCTACATCAAATTCGAACATAGCGCCTAGAATAATTCTACTTGCCGCGAACTTCATTTATGTTCACGTATGCGCTTAACTTCACTGGCAAAAATCATAAAACATTAGTTAGGTGATGACTGATGATACGAGATAATGCATTTTAAGCATAATTAAAAATGTATACACTATACAAAATAATTATTTTCGTTATGATAATAATAATACAGTAAACTTACGAGAATGTGTTATCACCAGAAGTAACTCGTTTCACACAAGGATACTATATAATTCCGTGCATCATAGACAAAAATACTGACACGTTCTTGATCTAGTATCTAGCATAGGAAATGCGTCCATTATCCATATCGGTCTTTATCAGTTGAATAGTGAAACCACATTTACAATTTGATAAAGATTATACAATGAATTTTTTGAAACAAATGATTTTATACTGTACAGTTGCTTCAACATCAAATAAAACTACTTGCATATAAGTTTTGAGATATCACACCCATTCATTATTGCAATGGTGGCTAATAATGGTAGTAATATACCCATGTACAACAAAACCAAATTCTATGGATATTTGTTTCTACCGCGTTATAGCTGCACATAATAAATTTCTAGAAACATCCTGATGCATATTTAGAATTGGCAAATATCAGACCAAATTCTAGCATGTATCAACAACCCAAAAAGAAGCAACAAAAAAATTTCAAAAACATCAAACCAAAATAAAAAAAAAATTAAATGAGTAAACCAATAACAAATATTACAAAGCTTAGGAAAATCTATTCCCCACATAAATTTTATAGAAAAAATTCAATAGTTGGATATTGGAAAAAGAATTTGATATTGGAGAATTGGATTGAAAATAGAAAAAATCTAATTGAACAAACAACTTGTTTAAAACAAAACGAATAAGAGAATGGTATTATTTTTGAGTAGCCATTGGTGCAGAAATAAATTGTAAAAAGTATATATATATATATATATATATATATATATATATATATATGCAATGTATATATGCGCATAAATAAAAAGTTGCTATTTTTTATTCCAAATACATTTCCGAAATGTTATAAATTGAATTAAATACATATTTACATTCTCCTGGAAAGTATATTTTATAGAGTAATAGTTAAATTTCGTTCTCTGCAACAAAAAAATTCATTATGCCTTCTTTGCTTTGTAAAATACATAATGATCAGAATTAAAATTCACCTTCACTCTCAGAACCCTCTGATTCAAAAGTATTATCAGGGATATCATAAAGACGAATCATTGGCTTATTTGGATCTTTCATGATCAAATATTTTCCTAAAATAATAAATAATTGTTAGCATATTTTAGGGAGATTATCTTAAAAAAAAAAGAACAAAAAATTACCATCTTTTTGTTTCATGCAAATATCTATAATGCATCTCAAGATTCCCCAAGCATTATCCATAGATAAATTGATTTGAGCGGCAAACTCATTAGGCTTGTATTGCTGGGTTCCTAGAATAACATGCCTGGAACTGTCACGGACTTGGGCTCGGGACACATAACCAAACTTAATATGATCAGAGCCAGCTAAAAGAGCTTGGACAGTCCATTTAGCAAGCTTGCAAGCATTATTTCTCAGTTCATTTGCCAACACGGCTCCTCTTTGTGTATCTAATTTTTGCCTCCATTCCACTCCATTTGCTAACTTACTATCCCATTCATTCAAAGCTTTGATGCTCAAAAATTGTAGTTCACCTGAGGGTGATTGAACAACTGCATCATGTTCACAACGAGCTACCAGGACCTACAATTATTACAATAAGAGTTTTTCATTTAATATGAAATAGATTATATTGTGCAATTTTCAAACAGAATTGCCACATTAATTATTATTATTGGTTTTTAGAACATTCTTTCCAAAGCTCTAAAATATAAACTTTTGACAAGAATTCTGGAGGTAATATTTCAGGATTAATAATAGGATTGTAGTAGTCTCCAATAGGAGATTAGTAAAGTTTCTGTTTACAGTAAGCATTTATAAATTTTAATATGCATTAATAATGAAATAAACTCAAGAAAAATCAGAAATATCATATTAAAAAAATACTTACTACACCATTATTTAAATCCCATTTACGGTAACGATAAGCAACACTAGCAACTTCACCTTCTTCTTCATCTGAAACAAATGGGTTTGGCTCTGGAAATTTATGACGAGGTTCAGATGGCCCGGTTCTCAACACCTAAAATATTATTTTAAATATTAGATTATATACATAAAAACAAATCATTATTAATAAATTTGAATAATTTATGGCAATAATAAATTTGGTAATAATTTCCAGTTCAAATACCTGTTGGCTAAAGTTGTGATTGATAAAAGTAGCTTCTAGTGCTAAATTCCTAGGGCTATTCAAAGGACTACCATCATCTTGAGGTGGTTCAACAGATGTCTCATTTACAGTAAGTAAATCAAACTCAGTATTATCACGCTTATCCATGAAGAGCTTGTCACCAATTTTCTCAATGACAATATCCCAAGAATAATTTGATCGAGTGCAACACATTATAGCTGCCAAAATAGCATCTGTGGCATAAACTGTTCCAACAGTTTTGGATAGCTTGCGAATAACTGGATCATCAATTGTTGTTACCTGCAACAAAAAAGATCATTTCATGAAATTTATTTATCTATGAATTCTTTATCTATATATTAACTTAAGCAACATAGTACTGTATAAAAAGTTGTAATTAAAATGTGTCAGATACATACAGTATGAAATATTCTATCAACACGCTGTAAAGGCTTTTCATTCTTCACATTGACTCGATCATAGCTCTTATCGTAATATTCCAAAGTACCACAGCATATAATGTCTTCTCCTTCTCCAACATTTGGTAATGACAACTTTGCTAACCGTGGAAAATCCATTTCCTCAATTGTTATCCAATCTGGACGGACCGTAACTGAAGCATCACGTATTTTTTGAGGAGCCTGTAAATATATTAATACAATAATCTATAAATTTAGGAGAAACAGTTTTGTTTACATTTTTAATTTACTGATATTCTATTCATATTTGCAAAATCTTTTTTAATAAGAATTTATTTTAGATATTCACAATAAGTAAATCAATAAGTGATTCAAAGCCAATTTCACTTTTTATGAAACAAAATAAAACTGTCAAACAATAATAAGATTAAAGAAAAGTATAACCAATTATGATACAAAAAAAAAATCTGAAACAAAAATAGACATACTCCTCTTTGACCCCATTTTTTAGCAATTCCTTTGCGATCTCTTTCTTTCATCTTCAAAGACTTTCCTAAAGCAGTCATTCCTTGTTGGCCACCACGCCCACCGCGACCACCACGGTTTCCTCTAAAAAATAATTACATCATGACAAAACACATAATGTAAAAGTTGAAATAATGTATTGCCCATGTATGTAAAAATATTAGAAATGCAGTTTTAAAACCAAAAGTCTGCAATATCATAAAAAAAGTTTTGTCATTAACAAAAACTCTAGAAGTTACCTGGTTGCTTTAAAACGTCCTCGTTGGTATGGTGGCTTCTGAACTCGAGTGCTATCAACCAAATGGAAGGTTGATTCATCTTCGTCATGATAATAAGCATATTGTGTTCCACTGCCAAACGCAGAAGCGTATTTATCTGGAAAAGTTGAATATAAATTGTAAGAAATGAATAATGGATGTAATTACAAGGTTATGTTTATTTTAAGTTGTATATCAAGTACGATATAACTATTTTAATGATTTAAGAGTTGTTTAATATCAAAATCAACAAACTGGCATATTTTTTGTCTTGAAATGAAGAACCAGTCCAGTCGCTTATTTTTCCCAATCTGTCTCCTTTACTGAATGGTTGATATGGCATGTCTTTAAATTGATCGGGCATTTCACAAGGCCCCCATCCGAATGCATTATGCTGGATTACTGGTGCAATAAAATGCACAATATCCTCTTGATCCGTCGTCAACATCTTTCGGAAAATTTATATAAAATTTATAACTATACTATACTTTGTGAAAAAAATTGACACGAGGGTAAAGAGAAAAGCCGAAAGCATAATGATTGGCGTTGCAATCGCTAAAATTAAATCCGTTACGTCCTACTTCGAATAACGGATACTGTTAACGTTAAATTTGAAATTTGAAGATAAGTTTATAACATTTATAAAAGAAATGAAATAAGATATAAATGAATACTTAAAAATAATAAGATGTAGACATTTGCAATAAAAATAAATAAAAAATAAAAAAACAAAACTTTATTATATAATTTTCTATATTACATACCATTTACCCACCAATGTATAGAGTATAATGCAACCATTTAGTCAAAATTCTGTTACAGTTATAACTAAGATTAAAATCAATAAAATATATTAGGCAATTCTGTAAAACATTTTTCTAAGCAATTATAAATATTGCAATAAATGATCATAAATCTCTATAATGTGTATAAATTCACATAATTAAATATTTGATTCTCTTTTACCGCCAAAACTTGAAGACATTTTTAACAATAATATAACATATTTTGTTTTTGAAATCACAGAAAAAGTTTTCGAAAACCACGGCCCTGGCTCTAAGCAGATTGTTGAATTTTTTATTCCATTTACAACTTCGACCTTAACTCTTCTATTCTCTTAGATGCCACCCTTTGTAAATCTGCAAGCTTCATTGCAAGTCCCATATTGCCAGTTATTTTAATTTTGCCTTGGAAAAATGCTTTTTGAGGGTTCAATGTTCCACTTATTAAATCCACAATATCGGAATCATTAATTATAAAAGTAACATCAGGTTTATCTGAAATCAATTCATAAAATCATATATAATTTTCATTGAGTAAAATCAATCTCAATTTAATTTCACATATCTTTTAAAACAGTTTGTGGCATTTAAACAAACTATTGTCTGATGTTTCTGTAGCAACATGTGAATTTTAGTTATTTTAAAAGATATAAGCTAGAAGAGCAAATGAATTTGGATTCGGTTGTAGTTCTTATTTACCTTTGCCATTAAACTCTACTTTTCCTTTACCAACTTTGGCATTGATAACCCAGTAACCTTCCTTTCCTCCTGGTCCATTTCTAACTTTAAATCCATAAATTCCACGAACCCTTTCTATTAAGTTATCTTTATCATCTTGCATAGCACCTTCCAAAACTTTTAAATATTTGGTGACTTGAAAATCATCTGGAGAAGATGAAGCACTTGTGGTTTGATTTGACTGCTGGCTGTAATAAGATATGCATTTACACTTGAAACATAATGATTAAACCTCGTTGTTAGATTATTTAATTATAATCATATTAGCATAAAAACAATTGCAGTTGTATCATTAGTCTTGAATACTTACTTCTGTGCTTTAGGAAAACCTAATTTGTAAAGAGCTACTACAACAGCACCTCCTAATCCAATATTGTGCTGAAGTGCCAAGCGAACATCTGGAACTTGTCGTTTTTCTGCTTGGCCTCTAAGTTGCCAGCATAATTCAGCACATTGAGCAAGTCCTTTAAAAAAGGATAATAATTAGCTCAATACATTAAATTAAATTAATAATTCCCATTAACTTAGCATTTTTCATAGATAGTATTTTGTCATTTGTTTTATATCAAAACAAACTACTGATATTTCTCAAATTCTTTCAAATATATAAAAGCACAAAAGCAATCAATTTAATATTTCATACATATTGGAACTATTTGACTTAGAAACACAATAATTAAAATTACCTGTAGCACCTAAAGGATGACCTTTGGAAATCAATCCACCACTAGGATTAATTACATATTTTCCTCCATAAGTGTTGTTGCCTGAATCTATAAGCTCCCCAGCTTTTCCCGGAGGACATAAACCGAGAGCTTCATAAGTAATCAATTCATTCGCTGAGAAACAATCATGTAATTCTACAACTTGAACATCTGTTGGCTTATATCCAGATTTTGTGAAAAGTTTTTCTGCTGCATTTTTAGTCATGTCATATCCAACCTAATTAAAAGTCATACAACATAATTGTTGAAGTTGATTAAAAATTTTAAAAAGTAATTTAACAAAATAATTAACATACAAGTTTCATTAAACTTTTGTCCTTAAATGTAGTAATAGTATCAGTTGACATTTCCATTCCAACAATCTCAACTGCTTGATCTTCTAAATGATGTCTTTTAACAAAATCTTCTGAGGCTAAAATTGCAGCACCTGCACCATCACTTGTTGGACAACACTGTAGTTTAGTAAGAGGTCCAAAAACTTGCGGTGATTTTTTAATTTGCTCCAGAGAGTATTCATCTCGAAATTGGGAATACCTGATCAAAATCATTTAATAATTCAATTACAGAATTTTCATTTTCAAAATAAGAATACAATAATATTTAATTTCTGGACAATAAATATATATGATATTTTTAATATTAATTCATGTGTAAAATATCATGTAAAATCTACATTTTCTAGATAAAGTAACTCACGGGTTATTTACGGAATGTTTATGATTTTTATAAGCTATTTTAGCTAAATGTTCTGGTGTTGAACCATATTTGTTATTGTGCTCCATCCCTGCATTTCCAAATAATTGTGCTGTAACTGGGCCAGCACCAAATCCTGCTATGTCGCACATTGCTTCAACATGTTTGTCCATAGGATTAGTTCTATCATTGAACTGGAATTATTCATGAATTAAAATCATTTTGTATGAAAATATTCGAATTTATTTTTACTTTAGATGATAGTGATCCCTTTTCCATTTTCTCAAATCCCAAGGCTAAAACGCAATCATTTAAACCGGATTCTACAAACTGTTTTGCCATGAACAAGGCGGTAGACCCGGTGGAACAGTTATTATTCACGTTATAAATTGGAATTCCAGACATTCCAACTTCGTACAAAGCTCTTTGACCTGAGGTGGAATCACCTGCAATTGTCGAAAGAACAAGCATTTTGAGTAAAGTATATAATTTTCTTCAAAAATTACAAAAGGATCAAAAACAAATCAACATTTGCTGTAGAACTGTGGTTAAGTAGTTTGATCATTGAGTGATATATAATTAATACAGGTGAATGTAAAATTTAATATCTGCTGTTCCAGCATTAATAAAAGAATATTTACTCGTAGTGCAAATCCATTCAATACAATTTCTTCTATAATCAAAATGTATAGACAATAAAGCAAGATGAGATTATTTCATAGCAGATCCAAGTATTTTAATATATAAGTAATAAATTTATAAATTATGATATTAGCAACTAATCACCATAAACATATCCTACGCAGGCCTGTTTGATATCACTATGTTGTATTTTTGCATCAGCCATAGCCTTAGTAACAGCTTCTTTAGCCATTTGGGGATAGTCAAAATCATCTCGTGATCCAGGTTTTTCAAACTGGTAATAGTTATATATGTTTTAGTGAAAATGAATATTAGTGTATAAATAAAATATGTCATATCTATTCTATTTTATTTCTATGAATTGGAAAAACAGTAACTTTCTAAATTACTAGAAATGAACTTTGTTTTCATACCTTCGTCATTCCGACCCCAATAACATAAACCTTACATCTTGGTGAAGCCATTTTTTATTGAATTTATTTATGCAAATCGACTTAAGTTATATTCTTGTACTTCCTTCTACTACCTTTAAACAACAAATTGAAACACGCCAATTATGTTACAACAAAACGTACTGAAAATAATTTCAGCTGATTACAATGAAAATCTTGCTTAGTAAACAGATTAACCAACGTTTATGACTTGCAATAACATAATCAGTGATATTATTAATAAAAAAAATGAACGTCAGATCAAGATAGCTGAGAACAACACAAACACCATGAACCATGGACTCACATGGACTTCGATATCAAAGAGAATGTGAGCCAATGTCCAAGGAATTTAAATTATTTCAATCTTTTCATTTTTATTTCTGAATATAAATGATAAAATGCATTATGTTTATTTTAATGAAATATATTTAAGCACATTTTTAACAGTTATTTGATTGTTAATAGGCAATCGGCAGCGGGCAAGCTCTTCTCTAGCAATATATCCATATAAATATAGAAGAATTATTATTAAAACGTTGTTTTGTTTGGTCATTAAATATTATCTTAAAAAAGAAAATGGACAAGACAGTGTCTTCTGGCTTCGTGGCAATAAAACTGTCCTATTTATTTGCTTACCTAGGGTTCTATTGAAACCAGGGATGATCAATCTTTTCCATTAGTTTACATTACAAAAAAAAAAATATAAATTATTAAGCAAAAGTACTGGTATGCTAATTTGCTTGTAAGCAAAGCATTTTAAACTTCTATTTTATAAGCGTAAAGTATACAAATTACTGTTAATAAAAGAATTATTTATTAATAATTAATTGATATTTGTTAATATTTATGTATTACATTCCATTTCACTAAATTATTGTGAAAATTATGGTAAAAGAAATTTTATCTCCTGATCATGGTATTTATGTTATGGTAAATGTGCACATTTACCGCCGGCTCATTTGGCGAATGTAAGTTCAACTCGCGCATGTGCGGGTGAAATGCTAATTCATATATTTATATTTATACTTATATTTATAACTATTAACTATTTATCAATTAACAATTTATCTATTGACTATTAACTATTTCATTGATAAGTATTAACTATTTAACTATTAACTATTACCTATTTAACTATTCTTAAGTCACTATTTACTAATAACTATTCACTATTTACTATTAACTATTCAGTTATCACTATTCACTATTTTACTATTCAACTATTTACTATTAACTATGAACTATTCATTATTCTTTATTTGAATGTGCACTTTTGGTGAATGTGCACATTCATCAAAAGTGCACATTTACCGTAACATTTATACTGTAATATTATATAGAATTCGAATTAAATTTTTATCGAAATTAAATTTAAATGCTTAATAAATGATGATTGATATACTCGTATTCAATTCAATAATAAAATTATACATACAATACATAGTTTACTAATAACTATAAACAAAATACATGGAAGTGGCGGTTGTAAATTAAAAGCTAAACATTTTTTAATAACATACATTTCGATAAAATACTTTTTACTACATTAAGTCAGATAATTTATTAATGTGAATTAAAATAGACGAAAGTATATTCTATCCCTATGTTCTATCCACTCCTAAGGCTTAATTGTCATAAAATGAGACTTTTATTAACTGAATTTGAGTTCAAATAATCGAAATATGTAGTTAAATCGCTTGACTTGTACGGTGTTCTGCAAATTCTGTTGATTAGGGCCCGAGGCAAAGTTTTTTTATTGGACCTCATCAAAACCAACTTCGAGGTTTTACAGTCGTCTACAGAATAGATACGAGGAAATTCGAGTAAAATAATTTTTTTTTTTGAGCACGAAGCCTTTGGGCCTGGACCCTCAGATAGAAGATTCACTTATGGCCAGGGCCAGGACCCATTTGGATCGAGAGCCCGTGGCATTTGCCACCTCTGCTGTCATGTAGTTACGCCAATAATTATATAATATATAATAATATTATTACAAAAAAATGAAAAACGATCGAACTGCTTATATTATTTTGGTCAGGCACAAGTTTTTCCCATAGGTGTCGCAATTAAATTTTCTCATGACTCAATATTCATGTTAAAAGCTTTGTCTATGGATGGCGCTTACATTTATTTTGAACTTGACGTTTTACATTTATAAATATAATATACGTTTTCAGCTGTCAGCTTGAAGAATTGTTTCTTTTCATATATTTGTTGAAATAATTTTATATTTAACTAGGATAAATCACTAAGGTGTTAATAATAAGCATTTAATCATGGGGCGGCGTTCTATAAATACCACTAAAAGTGGAAAATATATGAATCCTACGGATCAAGCCCGTCAGTACATAACCTGATGATTATTATTAAAAGGGGGTTGAAATTTATTTGAAATTCAAATGTACTTTCAGGCAAAGAGGCACGTAAGAAGGAATTGAAGAAAAATAAAAGACAACGTCAAATGGTTAGAGCTGCTGTTCTTAAAGGAAAGGACCCGACACAAATAATTGAAGAAATGGAAAAAATTGATGAAATGGGTACATTAACGATATCTAATTGAAGAACCACATTTTAAGTTTATGTAGTATTTTTTTTTTAACAAATCAACCTAATTCTTTTTTTCATTTCTTCAGAATTCAATGTACATCAAGCATCTCCACTAAACGAAAAAGTCCTCAAAGAAAAACGGAAAAAGTTAAAAGAAACTTTGGATAGAGTGTTAAAACTCTACGTAAGTGTATTTGCTTTTTCTTTCAATGTACATAAAATTAGTTAATCATTTATACTATTTTTAAAATATAGGATAAGGATGACCCTGAACAATGGGCTGAACTGAAAAGGAGAGAAATTGATTATGAAAGGCGACGCAACAAATTAGTTGCTCACTATGAAGCTGTGAAACATGCACAAAGTGTGCAAATAGATGAAATTCCTTTGCCTTCTCTTCAGGTATATTTATCTCTTTTCCATATGCTACAATAATCATATATATTGTTTTATAAATTATGAGCTCTTAATATCAGTCACAATCACCTAAATAACTTGATTTATTGTAACTATGATAATTGATATGTATCGCTCTAAGTGCTACTTTATTTAAATATATATATAACACAGATTCCAGATAATTTAACATCTATGTATAGTATGCCAGCACAAATACCATTGCCTTCGATGCCTCCAATGTTGCCTAAACCTGTTCTAAAAGTTACTTCAAAATCTGGAGGTATATTGAAGAAATCTTCTGGACAGGTAAAATTAAATGTGATTTATATTTTGTATATCTAAATAACAATAAACCTAATATATTCTTTTGTAATAGTTAAATGCAAATAGAAAGCCACCTGGAGTACCACCCGGGCCACCGCCTTCCTTATCTGATGATGATGATGATTTTTCAGAAAATGCAACTGTGATTGCAGCAAAAACCAAATCAAGAATAAGATTTTCTGATGATATTGAAGATAGCCAAGTATATTTGCAGTTTCTATGTTATACTAATCTACAATTCTTTTAAATTTTGTTTGTTTCTAGGATAAAGAATCTTTAGAAAATGATGACATGACACAATTGAGAGTTCCTGGAACTGAAATTGTAGAATTGAAAGCTAAACCTACGTCACTTCAACAACGCATGTTAGCTTTATCAGGTCAAAATATTGATGAATTCATGAAAGAAATGGAAGTTGTGCAGCGAAAACGAGAACAAGACAGAAATAATGATAGCAATGCAAGAACTGATTCCGAAGAAGGAAATGATGGTTTGACATGTTTTATATGTTTAACTATGTTTTACTTGTTAAATAATTGAATTTTTTAATATTTTAGAAACGTCAGAAACTCCAAACTCATTTTCAAGTATCTCAGTTAACAATATGGCAACTATGGGCATGCCTCCACCACCGCCAGGATTGTTTCCACCCATGGAAAATAGAGAAATTCCACTTGCTATGAGATTACCTCCAGGTAAAATAGCATAGAAGATATATATAGTTTTATAATTTGCAGTGCAGACAAGCATTCAAACATAATTATATATTAAAACTTATATAAATTATATACATTCCACAGGACCACCGCCGACACGACCCAATATGCCTCTCGGACCTCCACCTGGCTTACCTCCACGCATTGGGTTACGATTACCTCCAGGACCTCCTCCTGGTTTACCACCACGTCTGATGCGCCCCCCAATGGCACCTAGAATGTCTATGCACATGCCAATTAATAATGCACCATCTTCCACTCAGCATCAACAACAATCACAAACAAATAATGTTCTCTCTGCTGCACCTCAATTAATCAGTCATACTGATAGGCCTAAACAAGGCGCCACTATCATGGCTAAACCACAAATAAGAAATTTAAGTGCAGATATCACTAGATTTGTTCCATCAGCACTTAGAATCAAGAGAGATGATAAGAAGCTGAAAGTTCAAAAGGCTACTAGTTTGATTAGAGATGTTGTACAAGAGAAACCCAAAGAAGGACAAACTAAAGATGATGCATATTATCAATTCATGAAAGAAATGCAAGGCTTATTATAAATTCAATTCTGGAAATCTATCAAGTAAAATAAAATAATTATTAGAGAGAAAAATGTCTTTTTTCTTTTTAATGCTGCAATCAATATAAATTAAAATTTAACATGTATATATATATATATACATATATATATATATATATATATATATATATATATTTGAATAGTCTTGAATTTGATTTTGATATATATGTTTAATTTGAGTTTAATAATCGGGCGTAACATCAATAAAATTTTTTATTGATGTTACGCCCGATTATTAAACTCAAATTAAACATATATATATATATATATATATATATATATATATATATAGTGATTCAGTTACAAATTTTGCAAAACTCTGTTTAAAATCTTCAAATTGCAATTTAAATATCTAAACAATAAATATTTCTCAAGATTAAATATTTATTATAAGAAGCAGTTTAAAACAAATTTCAGGTATCATAAAATAAAATAAATAAATTACAAATTTAAAATGTACTCTTATAATTAGTATACATCAGTATTATTTTATGCATTAGGCCTTGGTTTTAAAATGAGCTTGCCAGTATCATCACAGGACATATTAAAATCTCCTAGAATTGTTCGAGTCCTACTAGTAATGATAGAAGGAGCCATGACTCTTTTATGAATGCCCATCATGAATAAAAGTACTAACATGAAAAAATATTACAGATATTAGAGCAGCAATAAATCATAAATCAAATTATAAACAAGCTTACTTAAAATGATGCTTGATATTGTGAAGTATGGGTGACTCCATAATGATTGCACTAAAGAGACTACAGGTGTTGTAGGATCCGTGAGCCAATACCAAGCGCCAACGGCTGTACATATCGAAATAACAGCCAAAACAACTGAAAGCAATATTATACTATATAAGTTTTTTCAGTACTTCAATCATCAGAATTCTAAAAATTCTGAAAGAATTCCAAAGTAACGAGAACAACAAAGGGCGGACAATGTAATTCATTCAATTTGATTCATGATATAGAAATCTCACTAATTTTATTGTGCATATTTGTCATAAAGAGCTATTGCTGCAAAAATATTGAATAAGAACAGCTCAAATCAAATAGTTAAAACAGAGTCATATTTTCATGTGTTATTTTTAAACTATCATTGCACTTCTCTTTGTATATTAGTTCCAAATAAAGAAATTATCAGCCCAATTGCTAGTTAGTTTTAGCATAAAATCATAATCAAATATTAATGAATAAGGATTGTTCCTCATAATAAATCTTGAAATAACCAATTTTACTTTAAATAGCGAAAACAAAACAATGTTTATTGAAATTATTTTTCAATTACCTCTCCACCTGTTTGTGCTGGGTTGCAAGCAAGCAATCACTTCAGTCAAACGTCTTTCAAATGCTTTTAAATCTGGAATAACGCTTAAATTACTTTCAATACTCATTTTATTTACTTGACAAAATAATTTTAGATTTTTGTTGTTAACCTTCACACGCAGTTTGTTCAAGTGACATGTTTACTATTTTTTGTGTTACATGATCACATAAGATAATTATGCCACAGCTAAAATCGTTTTGAAAAAATAAACCTGGTATTTATTACACACTACATCAATTTTCACTTCAAACTAACGTAGCATTTTATTGAATATATAACATGATAAGCTAAACTGAAAAAATGTCAACTGTAAAATAGATTAAATGAAAAGTGAGGTTATATTTGGTAATGTCTCTATGTTGGTGTACCTGAGAACGCACTGTCAATTCAGAAAAAAATGTAAATGACAGCTGTATTTTTTATCTAGGAGGGACCCACCAGCTCAAAAATATCAAGATATAAGTGCTTCGTTATATTGAGATCGCTAAAACTACAAAAAACCGCATAAAATAGAGTCATTATTGTATTTCTAATGGCTGATACAGAACCTACATCATCTGAAGCCACAGATAATTCGGCTGAAACTGCTTCTGCACCAGAATCAATTGTTCCAACTGTAGAACGTACTATCAGTCGAGACTCCAACTCTTCCTCAACAACTAAGACTAAAAGTTATTAAATATGTTAGAGGTAAATTTTGGTAATTGGCATTCTGTTTATTTGTGAAAAATATTCAACATTCCATAAATATGCTTGCAAAAACTATACAAAAGTAAAAACCTATTGATATATGTAAATATCAGCAAGCTGACAATGTTCAACACAATACCATATTTCTTATAGATTAAAACTATTGATTAACACCATTAGAAGTAAAAATAAATAGTAATTACGATAATTTACCTCTTCCACGGACAAAACTCTTTTAGATCCAATATGATATAATTTTATTTAATTTACAGTTGACATATTGTTAAAAGCAACTGCAAATGCTCCAATTATGAAACAAAAAAAGTGGGCGGTTGAGGCAGATAAGCAATTAGGTTCCATTATTAGCTTCATTAAAAAATATTTAAAATTGGAACCTGAAGAACAATTGGTTAGTCAAAGAGTTTGATAATTCTTTGTTTTTATAATCTTTTATTAACCACCTAAATTTTTCAGTTTTTGTATGTGAATCAAACATTTGCACCATCCCCTGATCAAATAATTCGTAATTTGTATGAATGCTTTGGCTCAGATGGAAAACTTACTCTGCATTATTGTAAATCACAAGCTTGGGGTTGATCAAGCAATCAAGATATTATTTCAGATGTGATAATTTTAACATGTAGATGGGATGATGATCAAAACTATTTCTTTTAGTAATAAAATTTACTTTGTAAGTGGTATCACATTGAACGATCTCAAACCTAAAGAAACATTTTTAAGCAATTTGTTTAATGACTGAAAAAATTCAAATACATCTTTTTACTGAATTGATTGATTTACTGATATTTATACTTATTATTATACTGATACTTATATTTAAATCATTATATGCAAAATAGTAACTATATAACGTATTATTTTTTATTATTGTCAGTAAAATGTTTTACACATATTTTACATTATTCTAATAACTGGAATCACATTGTACATAATTATAAGTTCAAATTATTGAACTATTTTTATTTTGGCTTTCCTGCATAAAAATATAAATAATTTTAAGTTTAAGGTGATAATCTTTCGTAAACCCATCCATTATCTGCTTCATGTGTTAAATTCAAATCTATTTGTTCATTTGGAAGCAACTTTCGGAATTTTATTCTATCATGTAAGCGATCACTTTGGCCTTGCCAGAACTCAATAGATCGAGGTATTACTATATACCCGCCCCTAAAAGAATTAGCATTGTAAATTTTTCATAAGGTTTATCAAGAATATGATTAAGATAATTGAAATTAATATTAAAATTATTATTATTTAATAAATTCTTGGTGAGAATTCATTAGAGAAAAAAACAACTTATTTTTACAAAAAAGTAGTAATATTAACTAATGCTTAATCTGTGAAAAAATACCAGTATGGACATTCAATCGGTTGATCATCTTTGTATTTTTCTTTCAGTTCTTGTTCTTTATTTATAAGTACATGACGTCCCGCAATAACAGTACTCTGTTCACTAGCACAAGCGCCAATTTGACTATCACGTGGTCTGGAGTGAAAGTATGCAACAGATTCATCTTTAGGTACTTTTTGAACCTTTCCTTCAATTCTGACCTTACATAAAAATTATTTTTTAAACGTTAAAAATATCATATTCAATTATTCATCTACTTGGTGTATATTTACACATCGTTTGAGGGGTTCCCAATAGAAGGTCAGAGCTGCATTTGGGTTTTCTTCCTGTAATTATGGTTCTCTATAGTATTTACTTATTGAATCATACATATATATATATATATATATATATATATATATATATATAATAATAATAATAATAATGACTACATACTAGATCTTTAGCTTTACGGCTACCGTAGTTTGTGAAAAATTTAAATCCTTCTTCTCCATATCCTTTGCATAAAACAAAACGAGCAGATGGTAAACCTTCTCTAACGTAAATAACAAATGCATAGAAACGAGAGAATATATAATCAATGCTCAAGAAATTAAAACTATATTTACTTTGAGCATGTTGCAAGGCACATGGCATTTGGTTCTAATATTCCTGGAGTTTTACATGCTACATCAAACCAAGCTTTGAACTGAACGAAGGGATTCTTGCTCACCAGCTGACTTTCAACAAATGTATCATCTTTTGTTTTGTATTTCATACGCATTCCTGAAATTGAGTACTGCCTTATAATTTTTCTACTCAAATCATAGAATCTATTATTCATGATATTAAACCATATTAATTTCAATTTGATAATGAGCACAATAGCAAAGAACTTATTTAAATAGTAAATGTCAGTTGATTTTTGTCATTTTATGGTGAAAAATAAATGAAATATTGAATCATAACCAAATTCTAATCAGTATATTTGTTTGCATAAAACAGATATTTTAGTAAAGATGAAAACTGTGACAGATGTTAAAATGAAATATATGTCACCATGACCAACGTACCTCCTATGTCGATAGACATACTGCAGCACGAATTTAAAAAAGGAGTGTTAAATCTGTTTTAATATAGCACACAGTTTAGAAACTATATCTATATATAGCTTTAAATAGCACAGCTTAGATTTTACTTACAATAAACTATACACTTTATTGATCGTAGCATGTCCTCCAAGATTTGACGTGATTGGTTTTCCTCTGAACATTCTAAATATTATCTATTGTGTTGATTATGATGTAACAAAACAAAGGTCATCCTACGAGATGGAAAGTTAATTGACTATTGAAAATTGTTGCATTTTTTCTAATTAAACTGTCATGTACGACATTCAATACCAATACCGATACATATATTTTTCTTTTGAACTACGCTGTTGGCAATGTCAACCTGGTAGCACAGCCGGTAAAAAATCATGATAATCTTTTGAAACTTTGAGTTGAGATTTTTCAATTTTTAAGGTCTTTGTCAAGAGTTTTGACTAAAAATGATTTTGTAATATGAAAATGAGATGTACTATTATGCTCATTTATCTATGGAGATGCATATGATTTCGATAGAAAATGCAGCTTTCTAACTTTATGCATCCTCGTCGTTTTAAGTAATCGTTTGATACAAAAATTCGTACAAGAATGCGTGTTTGCATGTGAAATGAAATGGTATAATTAATAAGCCATTTCATAGTTTTTTTTTAGAAAATATCCGATTATTATATTGTCTAGGTGCGATACCCCAATTTTCAACTCTCTACTCTAGCTCGTTGTGTGGCCGAGATATCATTGAAGCCCAATTTTTTCAAACTAGCGCTATTTGTCTTATTGTTAGTTTTATTCAGTCTCATCTGAACATTATTCAAAACAAGTATTGCTAAATAATTATTTATAAGTACATAAAAAAGTACAAATGAAAATGATTCGTATTTTAGACGTATTCGTATTTGTTTGTTTCCTTTTTTGATTCGAAAGCCTGATATTGTTTCATTTAAAATTTTTAAAATTTTATTACCTATGAATATTTTATATTCTAATATTGTCTCGGGTGGCATTTTGATAAATAATATATATTGAAATGATTATTTCAAACATTTAGACATATTATTAATTTTAATCTTATGTACATATGTACCACTTGATTCTTCAGATAGTTGATCCATTAACGGAAAAAAACGGTTTAGAAAAAAAAGTTCGTCGATGGAAACACCACACAGTTAAACAGAGTTTATATTTTTGACAGCACACGTGTTCAACATATAACCTAAAAGCGTATGATGAATATGTATATAGATATATAAACAAGTTTTTATGAAGATAGTTCATTAGATAATTAAATAAATTAAGATATCGTTTTAAGAATAAATTATTATTAAAAATATATATGAAACTGATTGATTAATCATTTATTTTAAATGATACAAAATGCAAGTCTCAGAAATTGACAATGTTAAGATTTATAATCTTAGTGCTGGAAAATCACTACCAGAGGTAACATTTGTTAATTGTTATAACGCAATTTAACATTATATTAAATTACTTATATTGATTACAGTGGTTGTCAGAAAGAAAACGAAGAACCTTATTAAAGAAAAATGTCGATATACGTAGACGTATAGAACTAATTCAAGATTTTGATATGCCAGGAGTAAGCACAAGTGTTAAAATATCTCCTGACGGTCAATATATACTTGCTACTGGCATCTATAAACCTCGAGTGAAATGTTTTGATGTAAACAACTTATCACAAAAATTTGAAAGATGCTTTGACTCAGAAGTTGTAACATTTGAAATATTGAGTGATGACTACAGTAAATTAGTATTTTTGCAGTGTGATAGGTAATTCACTATATATTATAAAAATCAGAATAAATTACTTTATAAACATTGCTATCAATACTTTTTTAGGTATGTCGAAATCCATGTTGCTCACGGTAGACACTATCGTCTTAGAATACCAAACTTTGGGAGAGATTTATGTTATCACAAACCATCATGTGATTTATTTTTAGTTGGAGCATCTAGTGTATGTTTTTTAATCATATAATAATTAAATAAATACTAATTACTAAATGTATTATGTTTACAGAATATATTTCGTCTTAATTTAGAAAGAGGACAATTCCTACAACCTTTCACAACAAACAGCAATTCAATAAACTGTTCAGTGGTGAATCCAGAACATAATTTGTTGTGCGTGGGAACAGCAGGAGCTACTGTAGAAGCATGGGATCCTAGATGTAGAGAACGTTGTAATACCTTAGACTGTGCTTTAAGCTTACATGATAACATGTAATAAATTATATTTATCTTTATTATGGTAGTTGTATTACATATTTTCAATAATGATTATGTTCAGGGTTGAAACTTTTCCTGCTATAACATCAATGGCCTTTAAAAACGGATTAACAATGGGAGTAGGGACGGCTTCAGGACACATACTACTGTATGATATTAGATCTTCACATCCATTGCTTATTAAAGATCATATGAATGGTCTTCCTATAAATGATGTTGCTTTTCATAGTAATATGGATTATGTCTACAGTATGGACACGAGCGTATTGAAAATTTGGGATGCTAGTTCCGTAAGTAAAATAATCTCATTAAATTCCTAAGATTCAATTTTCTGTAATCAATTTTCTTTCACAAATAAGGGAAAACAGTACACAGCAATAGAATCACAATCTGACTTAAACAACCTATGTGTGGTGCCTGGTTCAGGATTGTTATTTATGGCCAATGAGGAGACAAAAATGCTGACGTATTACATTCCTTCTTTGGGCCCAGCACCAAAATGGTGCTCTTTCTTGGACAATCTCACAGAAGAGCTTCAGTCACAAAATACACAAGAAATTTATGATGACTACAAGTTTGTGACTTTAGATGAATTGAAAGCTTTGGACTTGGAACATCTTATAGGAACACCTCTATTGAGGGCTTATATGCACGGGTTTGTAGTGTATTATATTAGGGTAATAAATGCATTTTCTAAAGTTTATCATTTATATTTGTTCATTGCAGTTATTTCATTGACATCCGGCTTTACCGCAAAGCAAAATCTGTGGCAGATCCATTTGAGTTTGCAGAATATCGAAAACGTAAAATCAGGGAAAAAATTGAACAAAGTCGTCCAAATCGCTTGCAGCTCAATGATTTACCTTCAGTTAATAAAGAATTTGCTTTGAAATTAATGAACAATCAAAGCAATGCCAAAAAAACTAAAGCATCAGAGACTTTGTTGAAAGATGACCGGTTCTCAGCCATGTTCAAAAATCCAGATTTTGAAATTGACAAAAATACTGAAGAATTTCGTCTTCTTAATCCTGTTTTATCAAAACTAGATAAAACAAAAGCGAAAACTATGCAAAAAGCAGTCACAAGCCAATTTGAAATGATTGATGATGATGAAAAACAAGAAAGTTCAGATGATTTGTTAAGTGAATATTCTTCTGATGACGAACATCAATGGACACAAGAAGTCAAGAAAGAACATAGAAAAATACAAAATGAAGCTAGACGAAAGGCTGAAATGGAACAAGAAAATAATAATGACAAACAAAAAGATCCAAAATTATATGCATTAAAAACTGGTGAGGAGTATAACTATAACAAAGGATTCAAGATTAAACGTAACAAGTAAGTGATTCAATTTACAGTACATATATTTATTTATATGAATAAAAACTTACTAATTTACTTTCAGAAAAACTCTTGGTGAAAGAATTGGCGAAGAGAAAACAGATTACAGAATGTTGGGGTCTGTAGGAAGGCGTGAAATGACATTTAGTACTTATAAAGTAAGTAATATTACCTTAATATGCTTCTTAATGCAAATGTTCTTAATGTTTTTTATCAATAAACTTTTTGCATTTCAGAAAAAGGATTCTAAAACACTAGAGAATATGAAGAAACACAGAGATGAAAGGAGAAAGGTGATTAGACCCACAACAGGGATACAGAAGAAAATGAAATTTTGGTGAATAAGAAATACAAAGTGTTCAATAAATTGTTAATTTATTCCTCGAAAATAATAAATATATTAATTTAGACTAAAAGTTTTTCGAGAGCTATAAATGCAATTTTTTTCATTTATTACTATTACAAATTGATATAGATAAAAGAATTATATTAACATACAATACCCCAGATCAAATAATTCAGTTCTCAGAGAATTGCACATAGTAGTTATGTATGTAGTTTGATTAAAAAATTGTCATCTTATATAAACAAATAATTCTACAATCACAGCCCCAAGTAAGAACAAAATGTGAATGTTAGGAATAGCATAAATACTATAATAAGTATAGCTACCCAGGCAGGTAATGTATCTGAAAATATAGAAATTATTAAATTACAGACTGTGTGTGTTTATATTATAACCACTTACGTCGGAAAGGCAAACTATGAATGCAAACCCTATTATCAACACTGATAGAAAGGACAGCCGCTTCTGTATCGCTAGACACTGGTGGGCCTTTACCTTTTAAAGGCAAAAATTCAAGACCAGTAACAAACATTGAGTGGGCCCCAGGGACATACAAAACCCTCTACAAAATAATCATAATAAATTATATTAACAAAGCATTTTATATTTGATAAAATAGAGTCTCATCATATTTCACACACTTACTTGCATGCTAAACGCTACATATACAGAAACTGATCCACTGAACATAGTTCCAATCGCTAAAAATCTACCATCATCTCTTACTGCCAAAGCAGATAAACTTTCTTCAATAGCTACTGTCTTTGTAATTGTATTCTGTTCGATATCCCACTGGTGAAGAAATCCTTTTTGCTTGCCAGCTCTACCTGCTGGATTTGCTATTGTAAATAATCGACACTTATCCTTAACTCCTTCAACCACTCCAAATTTACAACGTTTGAATAAATATTTAGTCCCTTCTGGTTGATTCCATGTGAGACTGATCTTTTTTTTGCCTGTTTCGGCATCAAATACTAATCCTAAGCCATCTTTTGCTACACTAACAATTAACTTATCATTGGGTGAAAAATCTACATCATCTAGTTCTTTTGTATGTGCTGATATATCTAATGTCTTGACAAGTTTTGGAAACTTCCATACTCTAATATGGCCATCTGTGCCACCTGTGGCCATTAATTTTCCACAGTGACTTATTTTTATCACTCTTTGAAGTGGTTCTTCTGGTGTAAAATCTGTTTGTATACTATCCTGAGCTTGAATCTAGAAACAAGTTAAACATTATACACTATTAATCATCATCATAAAACATGTTTTATAATGGACTGAAACACTAATAATTTAAGAAATACAAAAAATTATTCATGTACATTACCTCAAAAGTCATTTTTCTAAAACCCTCTCTGTTGTAATCATTTTCTGCATGATGATTGTCATCATTAGACCTTTCTGAATTTTTTCTCCGCCTTGCAAGATTAGTTTGCTCAATTTTCCATTCTGATAAATCAATAATTTTTGGATTTACATTGTATAACTGGCAATGACTCTCTTGGCCTACTGCTAAATACGAGCCCTTGTTAGTTGAAACCACAGAACAATTCATAACAACACTTGTTCCTGTTTCATGACGTATAACTTCTTCGGCCATAAATCTTTCACCATTGTGATAAAGTTCGTATACTTCCTAAAATTGAATTAGGAATATATTCAATGTAAAATATAATGTAACTAAAATAAAATAATGGAATTAAAATTTTTAAAATGATGAGTTTAGTCACTGAGAGAAGCTTTTGTTGGCATTTTATAATCTAAAGCAATGATGTGAATAATATGAATAAATAAACAAGGAAGATGCATGTGAATATTGGTATACTTTCTCTTGAAATATATGCAAAAATCTAGAATTCATATCAATCAAATCAAATGACATGCTAAGTAGTTAATTCAAACACATAAAAGTGGTTATTAGTTATTTCATTAAAAGTTATTCTTTATAATTGAAAAACAATAATAAAATGTACTTACAAATCCGTTTGCTACTCCAGTTTTGGACATTCCGCCTCCTCCAGCCACTAACACATGTCTGCTGGTTAACATTTGCAATGTATATAAAGGAAAATTAACCCTTGCCAAAAGGCCATCGTGATTTCGGCCACTTCTAGTCATTTTGAATTTAATTTATCACTAAACTTATAAAATAGTCACAGACTTTTCACTTCACTAAGTCATGTTGATCGACAAGTTCCACGTATTTCGGAACGCAAGTTCGCAAACAACTGACAGTTGTCACGCTGAAGCGATTCTAGAGACATCTTTCGGCGGCTAGCAAAATATTAAACGATTTCGTCCATTTTGAAAAACTAAAAGGTAAATAGACAGGTGAAATAGACAAAGAAAAGTAGAACAAATAGTAGAATAATTAATATATAATACATTACAATGTTTACAAATATATATAAATCAGATTATTAAATTCCACTAATTACGTAAAATTTTTACCATTTTACGTTAAATTTTGATAAGTTTTAAGAGGCATTTGGCCTTAAGGCAAGTCACACATGTGTATGTGCACATACCGTGTACGTGTAATTAATATAATCAATACAGATTAAGACATTTTATTGCAATTTTTGTTTTCATTAAAATCTAATCAGTACGATTTCCAATTGATATTTATCAATATCTGTAAATGTATTAATTATACCTCACAAAAGCACAAACCGCGCTTAGAACATACAGGTAATCCCCGCATAACACGGTACTTCTATAACATGGATTCGCTCTAACACGGTTTAAGAATTGATACCATCTTTCTTATAACACGGTACTTTTAAACAAGGATTCATAAAAAGTATAGTAGAATCTATGAAAATCAAACTTTATTCAATCTAAAATTAGTAAAATAGCAGTTCAATAGCTCAATAAATGTGATAAAACTAATCCAAAAACAATTAATTTCATACTTATTATTCGAGCGCGCACGTTCTATAGAAAAAAAAAACTCTGGGCTTATCCGAGCAATTATTCAATTAGTCTTGAACAAAGATCCTTTGAATAAAATGAGCACAAAATTTTAATAACGGTAACTTTGCATGTAGTAAATATATATCTTTTCGCTAAAAGCAAGTACATAATTGCAAAAATACTAATTGTTTTTGAAAAAACCATTGGTTCCCAAGCTATTGGGGACCGATAGTTTGAAAACTACCGATTGGACATATTTTTTTTAGAGAATTTATTTTTAGAAGAAATTTACATATTAATTAATTAAATTCAAAATATTAATTACAGAAATAAAGCAAGCAATAATTAAATGTTTAATTATCAATATTCGGCAACAATTTTGTAATGTATAATCAAATTTCACGACTCGCAGTTAATGATCTACTTTTTAATAAATCTACTTTTTTTAGTTAGAAAATTGTTATAACACTAAGTCTTCAATAAGCAAATATGGTTTAATTGAATTATATACTAAAGTTTTGTTTTATTATTTGAGAAATGTAACATTAAATTCGTAGGTTTATATACTCCTTTTTTAAAAAACTCTAAATATATATGAAATATATGATGAATGACTAGATTTATATGACAAAAATAACAATAAAATTTTCATTGTCAAAACAAAAATAAAAAATTTCAGTAATAAATTCAAAATTTAAATAAAACCCACAAAAATATTACAAATAAACAATAATGTAACACTGCAAGAAAAAACTTAGTATCCTTCTGACACAGGGATGTTTTTTCTTTTAAAATTTCAACTTTGGCATTTTTTGAAGTTCCAGTTATAAATTGTATTTAAATCTCCATGATTGTAAAAGAAAAGATGCTTTTTCTTAAATTTTTACTCAAAATTACTGTCTAAATAAAAATGTGTTTTTTAAATCCATATAAGAAAGATGAAGAATCTAGTAACGACGTGTCTTTTAGTATGTATGCTTGGGCAAAATTATGGCTCGCCAATGCCTCCAAGGCCTCAGAAAGTACAAGAGGAACTTCTTCCTATCGAAATGGACGATATGATTAAAGGTCGTTTCAGTCCAAAGGGATTTAATGGATCGTGGGTTTCGGGTAAAATTCAATAATGGGGTGCTTTAAATATTCTGATTATCAATTATGTTTATATTTATATAGATACAACATTGGTATTTAAAAATGAAGAGGGCGATTTGCAACTATACGATGTACGCAAAAAAACGCAGAAGAACTATGTTTGCCAAGAAGATATTGTAGGATAATTTTTGCATATGCCTACTTTTTTATTATTTAGACTACAAACTGTTATTTTAATTACATTTACAGAGAAGTGCTCTTTACCTCGAACAAGAAAGAAAAAAAGCTTCTTGTAACAATGATCTGACACCGGTAAAAGCTACGATCACAGAGAAAAAATCTACAAGCAGTTGCAGACATCATTTTTGCAATTGTTGCAAAAATGAAACTAAAGATGCAGTAAATATTTGAAGTTTATTGGAAAAGATCATACATTTATTGCAATATTAATTTGAAATGCGTGTTTCAGAAAGAATTCAATATAACAGCCTATGCCGTTTCTCCTAACCTGAAATACATTTTGTTTTATAAGGATTCAGTGCAGGTCGTAAAAATATGCTTGTATATAAAATAGATATTTATTGAAGTTCAATAGATACAATTTATATTCATTTAGTTAATTACTATATTATTTTAGGGATTTAGATATTCTTCGCTCTTTAGATGTTTCATATACCATGTTGAATCAAAGTAAGTAATTTAAAAATTTTTCTAGTAGATTCATATCATAGTATTTTTTGGTAAATACCGTCCCAAAGAAAAAAATCTAAATCTTAAATTCATAAACGAAAAGTATATTTTTTAACTTAATCTGATTGCTCCATCATGTAATTATATAATTATAATAGATTTCTTGTTTTATTTCTCTAGAGAAATTGTGCCAATAGCTTCAGATAAGCATGTTCAGTTAGCAAAATGGGTTCCTGAGAGCAGTTCAATAATTTATATAAAAGATAATAACGTTTATTATCGGCGTGGACCAGCAATAGGAAATAAAGAGATTCAGCTGACTTGTGATGGAGAACCAGGCGTAAAATATAATGGTGTCACAGATTGGGTGTACGAAGGTGAGATTGTTGTTAATGATTAATAATTGGTAAAATATGTTTATTGGCAATCATAAGTTTATATCTATTATTACAAGTTATTAATATTCGATTATTTTATGTTTTTTCTACGAATTAGTCAGCGCTTTCAAAAATACCGAAAGTATATAATTTTATATGAGACTTGTGTCTTCTAGAATAGCTGGCTTTTATGCTTTAGCTTTATTTAGAATATTAAAAAAGCGTTTAAAAATATATCGAACATCTTGTAAATTTACAGAGGAAGTATTTGCATCGGGAAATGCACTCTGGTTATCAAACGACGGTTTGAGACTTGCAATTGCATCATTTGATGATACTGCTGTCGATGAAGTTATGCATTTTCAATACGGAGACGCTGGGTCCCCAGAAAGCCAGTATCCAGAACTTGTGGAATTGCGCTATCCCAAAGTATGAAAATTAAATATATATCCTAGCATGTAGATAGTTTATTTATTTGTTTTTCTTTATATTTAGCCGGGAAGACCAAATCCTAAGGCAACCGTACGTGCTTTGCGTTTGTGTGATGTCAAAGACAGAAATGTTAATTGGGTCTCTATGCTAGCTCCTGTAGAAGACGTTGGCAAAGACCATTTAATAGCTGATGTAAAATGGGCAACTGATATAGAATTAGCGATCACATGGATGAGCAGAAAACAAAACGTATCAGTCCTATTGATTTGCCACGCAGATACTGGTTTCTGCCAAATGGTAAACGGGACTATAAATCATATTAATGAAAATTTTTTATATGTATAATTTATAGGAGCACAAGGAAGTGGCTCAAGTTGGCTGGGTAGACGTGCATAGTCCAACATTTTATCCTGATGGCAAACATTATTTAATCGTGCGGCCGTTGAAACAATCAGACGGAAGGTCGTGGTCGCAGCTGATCAGTGTGGAACGTGGAGGTGTTGCTACTCCTTTAACCAGTGGCAGAAGAGCTGTTTTATCGGTTCTTGGCATAGATTCAGTACGAGATCATATGTAAGTATAATGTGAGATTTTATATGAATTGATTATTAGAGCATATTTTTAAATTTACATATTTTTTCCTGATCTCTGACCTTTCTCTATTAGATTTTACGTAGCGACTTCCGCAGAAATGAGTTCTCATAGGGAAGTCTACATCGGTGGAATGAAAAACTTGTGTTTGACTCAACTTTTAAGCAATGACGATGGTACCATATGTCGTCATGGTGGTGCAAGTTTTAGTAAAAACTATACATACGCCGTCGTAGCATGCACGGGTCCTACTCCACCGACCATCATGATATTTGACGTCGTCGTAAGTAAAACTTGGGTAATATAAAATTTTTGCTTATTTAAACAATTTTAATTATTATTTTTATGTTGTAGAAAGAACGCAGAGTGCTTATTTGGGAAGATAACGCCAGTCTTCGCGAACAATTAGCCAAGTACAAGAAGCCACATGTCCGTGATATGAAAATTGATGTACCAAATGGTTTCCAAGCTGAAGTCAGACTCCATCTGACGCCAGATTTTGATGAATGTGATAATACCACTAAATACCCCATGATTGTAGGTGTTTATGCTGGACCAGCTTTCAAGAAAATAGTCGATGTCTATACATTAGGTGAGATAGAATTTCTGTTTAATCCGTAGAAAATTTAATCGAACTTTATTTTATTTTAACAGGATACAACAAGTATTTGCTGACAAATAGAAATTTTCTTTATTGCGAAATCGATAGCAGAGGATCCGGTTACAGAAGCAACGAGATGCTTTACGAGATCAACAATGCTCTTGGGACTGTAGAGATAGATGATCAGATCTTAGTTACCAAGTAATGAAATTTATGTATTTTTATATCTTTTGTTACACAATTCGATTTAAAAGAAACGGATTAATATTTAATTACAAGCACCAATAAATAAAAATAATTGAATAAATTTGAATTATATTAAATTTAGAAAATTAATTATATTTGAAATCATGCGTTTCTTAATATTATTTTTTCTTAATATAATATAACCGAAAAAACTTAATCGTTTATGCTACTTGTGAATAACATGCATTTTATCTTTTATTTGTAAAGTTTGATAGATTTAATCAGTAAACATATTCGATTCGATTGATTCCTCGCAAATAATGATAAGCCCTTTCTCACTAATCAATAGTTTGAAGTATAATTTTTCGTGATTCAATACATTTATAATTTGGCATGTCATATTCATTATTATTAAAAAAATATTTATTTATAAATTTCGTAAGTATAATAACCCTAACCCTATTTATTAACCTAACCCTAAGTTATAATTATGAATTAAATCGATAGTTTCATAAAATTATTTATATAAGTGCTACACGTTTATTGATAATTATGATTTTTTCATAAACATAAACAAATATTTGTAATGTTAATTTATTGCCTTCAATAAATAAAAGCGGATATAAATGGATTTAGGTATATCTAGGCTATCGGTTATGTCAGTAAATCACTAATAATAAACAATATCCAGCCATGATTATTTGAATCAGCAGATTAAAGTATTTCAGTTGCTAAATATGTACAAGATATTAAAGATAAAAGTACGCCAATTTCTAATCATCACTCATATCATAAAAAACTACGAAATATAATCATTAGATAATATTGAAAAGATACAAAGATGTTAGAAATAAGTATCTACATTTATTATATTCGCATAAAATCGATAGTGTAATAAATTTTATATTACATTTCTGTAATAGGGCGAATATTTTACTGATGCAGCAATGCCGGATGAGGGCTGTTTTCACTTGGAAACACATTGTTATCTATCTTTATATTACTAATAATATAATCGATAGTTAAAACGAATTTAAAGTTATTTCAATTGAATAATTTATACCATATCACAAGTATTAATTTATTTGTATGCCTAAATTTAATAGTATTAACTAAATAAATATATTATTAATGATAAGATTGCTTTCGACAATCAAAGTAAGTTTACCAAATATATTTGGAAGGCGGCTACTTACTGCACTTCTTTTTGTGTTTTGATTTACGGATATACCCCAATTACAATTTTTGTACTTTTTTATAGAAAATTAACCGAGATGTTCAGTTTCATCGACGCCAAACGTATAGGGATTTGGGGTTGGAGTTACGGGGGATACGCGGCTGCAATGGTACTTGTTCGTGACAAAGAAAACGTGTTCAGAGCTGGCGTGGCAGTCGCTCCTGTCACCTCCTGGTTGTATTATGGTATAGTTATAAAATTATATTAAACTTGATAAAAAATTATATTTCATAAATATATAGGAAAAACGAATAAATTAATATTCCTCAGAATATAATCATGATCCATTATATTATGTAAAAAATTAATTCGCTGATATTCTGATATAATGGCTTTAAGCATTCAATTCTTAATAGCTGTCTTACAAATTATATTTTGAAACAATGCGTTTGAAATTATGAACGTTTTTTAAAAGGGGTATAAGCTACAATGGTGAACTTTAACATAATGAATATTTTAATCATCCAATTCTTAATAGTAGTTTTACAAATTACATTTAGAAACAATGCGTTTGAAATTATAAACGTTTTTCAAAAGAGATATAAGCTACAATGGTGAACTTTAACATAATGAATATTTTTCTGAAATTTTTCACTATACATTTTTTAAATAATAACGTTTATTAAGAGACTTGAATAGTATATCTATATATATATATATATATATATATATATATATATATATATATATATATATATATATATATATATATCAAAACGAGTGTGTTGATTCAGGCACTATCATCAAGTAAAAAAAACTACTAGCTAGTAGTACTGATAATTGTTTTAATTAGTGTAGTGTAGTGTTTCATTGTTTTGGTCTGTAAGTACCTATTTTTAAGTCCAATATGTTGTATCAATTTTCTCTTCTAAATTAATAATAAACAAAACTTTTTAGTATTCCACTTATGACGGTCTCGATGAAGACTGAAACGTGTGGATTAATAAAGCTGTTTTCCTAATTACTTTAGTTTTCTTCACTTGGTGATATTGCCTGACTCAACACACTCGTTTTAATATATATCATCACCAAATTTACATAGTCCAATATATATATATATATATATATATATATATATATATATATATATATATAATTTAAGGAGAATTGTTCCTCAAAGAGAAGTTGAATTTGCTAGTTTTGTTTTCTCGACGTTTCAAGTTATCCCGAGTAGTTTGACCCCAAATTTGCAAAAAATGTGTGTATGCTGTAAGCCACAATTTGACATTTCTTAAAAAACGGCTGCACTGATTTCAAACCGATGTAAGCTCGAATAAATCTATCGAGCCATTTCTATAGAATTTACAGATGGGTGCAAAAATGTTTGTCAACGTTTTCGTAGAAACTCTGCATTTTGAAAATCTAAAAACTCTTCGAAAGAAATCATTTGGGAATCATGCTGATTGTGTTCTAAAAATGAATTTTTAGAATCTAAAGTATAATAAATTATATTACATAAATTGAATTAGTACATTCACAAATATTTGAAATTTGAAGTTATTTCTGTTCGATAGATATCAATCTAATGAATAGTTCCATTAGTTTACCGTTGAAAATTTTATCGTAATTTGAAAACTTGCTAAATGTGAATTCTTATTAAGTCGATTAATTACACGTACCGGGAAGTTCATGCACCTTGGCTTAAGCATAAAATTATGAAAAATTAAACATTCTGACTATATATGTTTTCTATTTAGACACGATTTACACTGAACGTTACATGGGAATGCCATCGGACAACCAGGCGGGGTACAACGAAAGCGACATCGTTCTGCATGCGGAAGCGTTTCGGGGAAAAAGATTCCTATTAATACACGGAAGTTCCGATGATAATGTACATTACCAAAATGCAATGCAATTAGTTCGACAACTTCAACTGTTGGATATACCTTTCGAGTGTCAGGTAACAGACATAAGATAATAATGCAGCTTAAATACAAGATTAAGACGATACATCTCTGCTTCGTCAGACTTTTCCAAACAAAGCATTAATAACTAAGTTTTAAATGTTTTTATGAGCCACTTATTAAGATATAAATATAAGGTGTCCCAGAACTCAACGTGAAGCCGAAACGGGATGATAGTAACGTAACTCACCTGAAAAAAATATCCTCACGTTGTTCTAAATTATTAGCTGTTAAGTACAGCCTAGAGCTTTGTTGAAATTGTGATCCATTTTCGGTTATTGTAGTTAATTTTGTTCATTTGAACTTCAGATCCGTAATTGTAAATTACATTTCTAGGACCACAGGCAAAAATAATAATACAATTGCACCCAGTTTTCAAGAATTAAGACCATTCGTAGAACTATAAATTTAATTTTTGCTGAATCATATATAGCGCTAAGGCAGGGAGATTTTTCGTAATTGTTTGTTGATGTTTTTTGATGATTTTGCATAGTGATAGAATCTTATTGATCTTAATGATCATGTATATCGGGATGTTCATGCAGCTGCAACGTGCAACAAAATGCTACTTGCACTTAGTTTTGTTAATTAATTTTTGTTACACATTTTTATTTATTAATTAATGCGATTTAATAATCAGTTATGTTGCCATATTTTATGTAAATGTTTCATGATATTACAAAGATTCAGTTAATATCTATTTCAGAGTTATCCGAACGAGAATCATGGTTTGAGATCAGTTCTTCCTCATGTTTATCATACAATCGATAACTTTTGGACGAAACATTTTTCATACTGCAATTTTACTGTATGATTTGTAAATAAAATAAATTGTCAGACATTAAAACTATGTAAATAAACTATATAAAAATATTGGAAATGAATAAAGTATAATACGTTGTATCAATTGTGTGTTTATTGTATATTTTATTTATATTATATTTATCATTAGTTTGTAATGTGATAAGGTTTTAATATATTAATTATTTTATACGTTTTATGTCAAACCTGACATTTCTAATATATATCATAAATCACTTTTGTTGCCGAGAAATTACTCAATCTGAAAATACAATTAAAAAAATACAAAAAATTGCGATTAAAAATATATCGGCGCATTATGCAATGTCAAATTTAATTGAATTCTTTCAATTGTTTCAAAATGAAATAAATTAATAAAAATAGTTAAAATGATGTAAAAATATTAAAATTCTAAATATAATGGAATAAATTATCATTTTCGTTTAATAAAATGAAATTTTAAAAATCAACTTTATGCATCGCAAAAATAATAGCAAGTGACAGAATAAAATTCCAGATTAGGGAAAACGACATCTGAAGATTTTTCTACAACTTTACATTTTGAAATAAAGGTAATTTCGTGATATTTAATTTGTATTTAGAAGTATGATAACAGAGATCAAATGCTCCAAAACGCTGGTTTGAATGAACGATTAATCTCATGGTGGTAAATTACTTACTCTTATGTATTTAATGGTGAATATTGAACTTTATTGTGCACTTTTGTCGCACAAAATATAATGCCTAGTAACAGAATGGGGATGCATATTCAAAAATAATGCATCATGTCTGTAATAATCTAGGACGAAATTAATAATTAAGAAAACGTGTACTTTTACCATTTAAGTAAGCCGATATTCCTACTAATAATAATCTCAATGACCCAAAAGTTTCAAAAATGTCAACATAATCTGCGCCTGTATTCAGAATTAATGGAACGGAAATAGGGACCGTCTACAATTATCTAACCATTTTTTCTAAAATCTGACTTACATTTAATTCTCATACAGTAAATAATATAATATATATAATAAGCCGAGCAGATAAGATCCGATCAGAGTTTAAAGTAAACGGTCAATCGCGTATATAAGTCGTTGAACTACGATCGGTATCAAAAACATGCATACAATCGATATAAAAACTATTTCTATATATATATATATATATATATATATATATATTTATATATATATTATAAATTATATAGAAATCACAGAGCTAGTACGACAGAAAATATTAAGACTTTGATGTTTAATGATTATATGATTTAAATGTCGTCTAGTTATATTCTTTTTAATTTCACTCTATTTTACAAATCGAATTAAATTATCTGATGATTATCGAATATGAAAAGTCACAACAGTTTTATAAATAAAATTTGTCCAAAATGTTCTAAGAGCCACTATAAATTTTATAATTAAATAGAACGGCAAATGTATAGTCAACTGAAGAAGTTCTTCTAACAAAGTTTGTTAAGACAAAGGTAGATAATTTCTTGGTAAATATATATGACCATTTTAAACCATAATTTTGAACTAAAAATATTTAAATTTAGCTTCATTCTCATTATTTACTTAAAGTTGTAGATCTTGGTATGATTTCAAGTGGAAGTTGCCCATCGTGGTCATAGTTGCAACATTCAATCATATGATATCTATTAGACGTAAGAGATAATACAAACCCTACATCGGAAATGGTAAACCGATGGGTTGCCCCTCATGAAAGATTAGGTTGTAGGTTTTTAACAAGTAACTTATAGAACGTATGAGGTAAAGCTGTCCTGATTGCTGTTGAAACAATAAATAATATATATTAACAATTATATTGAAACAATAAATAGACGACCCTTCCGATGGCGACGTTGCCATTCGCCTGCATAGTAAAAAGGTTATCAAAATAACGTAGTGAATGTTTCTCTTATGTGAGACTTCAAATATTTATGAGACAACTACAAATGTATATAAGAAATGTGAATGATTTGAATGCAAAACTGTACATGCATCTAGTACGGATATCTATATATATCTAGTAGACGTAATAATTCTTATCGAGCTCGTTGATTGTTTGATAATATTTTAGATTAACTAAAGAGCTAATAAATCGCCTATACTAAAGCAGTCCGTTGAAGTATTTCGTACGAATCTGACGCCGCCAGTAGAGCGTCAGTACCGGTCAGTGTGTGCGATAAAAGACAATAGATAATAGTGCAGCGGGTTTATCGCGGCGATAAATTAATTGACACAAACAAATTTAGGTATTTTAAATTATAATTAACAAAATAGTAAACAACATACGTAAACTTTAAAATTCAAAAACAAAACGCCCAAGTGTTATTACAATAAATGTATTAAAATCTATATGTATAAACTAAGTGTTTTAACTTGAAAAAAATGTTATTCCTTATAAAAATCACTTTTGCTGTCTGCACGTGATATATATATATATATATATATATATATATATATATATGGGTGTTCCTCGATGCAATGGTTAAGCTCACGGACTCTTGTGAAAGGGGTCGTGAGTTCGAACCCCGCGCTGCACAACCTGACATCGTGCTGTAATGTCCATTTTTACTTATAATAAAGATCAAAAATATGTTTGCAATTAAAAATAGCCTATTTTAAGCGATGTGAAATGGCAATGGGAAATCTCTAACACAAATTTTTCCCTGAATCGAGTTGGAGTTTAATTCAGCTCACAGATCTGTTGCACTAGCGTAGTACTACCCATTATTTAATTTAATATATTATATAAACATATATATTATTTTATATATATATATATATATATATATATATATTCAGAATAAATATTATCCTTCAAAACTATCTATGACATTGGGGGTGTTTATTCTTCACCTTTGTGCTTCAAATCTTAATGCTATTATTAAATTTAACAGTACTCATAAACTTAATTTACTTGTGCATAATTTTTATATTTATTCAATTTTTAACATCTCTAATTACATTATTATTAAACCATTTTGAATCGTTAGGCATCAAATTTGGAGAAAGTATTAAAATTTGATCTTTCGTGAACGTTTTCTTATCGATTCTGAAAGTTTAAAATCTATTTAACAAAACTCGATAAAAATTGTTGTTTAATCTTATGCATTGATAGTCTAAGCTGTTTTTTTACAGCTTTTACATAAGATTATTGCAACCTTTTTTGCAATATTTTCGCCGATTTTAAAATAAAAAACTGTACCTGTCGATAAGTAAGGCAGGGCGATTCTTTGTAACTGTTGAACTTTTTTTCACGATTTTAATGAAGCTTGGTACACTGATAAAGTATCATATATACATATATCGGAATATTCATGCAAATTGCCTTAAAGAATAAGTGCTACTTATACATAATATTGTTAATAAATTTATCCTATAAATGATTTTTTAATTAATGTGAATTATTTACTAATCAAATAAAACAGAACGGTTCAGTATTAATTTAATTAATATATAAAATCTATATAAGCTTAGTAAGTATTTCAAACTTGAAGAAAGTTTCATACAGATCAGTTTCGCTGCTTCTTCTTTCGTGCTTTATTTTAACAAAAGTGAAAGCAAATGAAAGTATTTATTGAGAAAAAAACACATACACATACATGCATATACATATATATATATATACACACATATATATATATATATATATATATATATATATATATATAAATTCAAATTTTCATTTCAAATATGAAAACCTAAGATCTATATATATATCCAAAATTCATTGTTTGTGTAGAAAATTAGCATTAGCGTTAATTTTTCTTATATCAACTATGGCTATTTAGTTAACCAAAACAATCGTGAATAAACCTATCATGTGTCTATTTTATAGTATGAGGTTTGCGGTGTTGTTTTGCCTGGTGTTCGGCGTGTTAGCCAAGCCTCCACCTGGACCGGCCCAGGAGAATCTCAAGCCTTTCGACTTGGTCGAGGCCGTCACCGGAAAGTTCAAAGCCAAAGGTTTCAACGGTACTTGGATTTCGGGTAAGATAAGAGTTAAAGTTTGCTATATTCAAAAAGCACCAGAGTCAAAATCATTTATGAGATAAAACCAAAACTTTGTAAAAAACTAAAAATTTGATTCAATGAATTAATCTCTCAAAACTCGATACAGCTATAAAATACATATTATAGAACTAGATTGTAAGAAAATTTATCTATCAGAATATTACAGTTTTTAGTATAATAAAAATTAACGATAATTCCAGTTTCATACATTTGAAGTAATAAATCGAATATATTTTTTAATTGTATTTCTCATTTATACAAATATTTAATAAATATTTTATCTATTTCTCTTACAGATACCGCTTTTGTATATAAAAATATCGATGGCGATCTGATGAGCTACGACGCCAAAGATGGTGTTGGCAAGACATTTGTAAAAGTCGCCGATATTGTAAGTTTAATGTAAATGGTAATTGTTTGTTACATTCTGAATGACTAAAGTGATTCATTAAGTTAATAGTATATTGATCAAATATTAACATCATAAAATTACAGGAAATTTATATTACTGAAAATTAACAATCATTTTCTTCTTTTATACTTTTTCTACTATACACCCAACCCATTCAATTTATTTCATATATTAATTTCAAAGCCTCACACATGTATTTGTATTATTATTAATAATTATTTAAGGCATCTACTCAAGAGATAATTTTTTTAATGAATGCAGTGTAACTTGTAAGCTTGGTTTTCAATTTATAATTCCATACACATCTCTATAACCTACTATAAATAAATAATGCATGACATAATCTATGATAAAACACTACTAATTCGTTTATTATCGAAGCACACAAAATAATGCAATTCCATGCATATCGAACGACGATTTAATTGCGATAACCAGAAATTTCGAAAACACATGGCGATAAATTTTAAAGTGCAATTAAATATTTATGACGAAATTATAATTATGAATTAGCATTAATTTGCAAAGGCATAATGTGTGAATATGTTTTTAATTATGACTCAATGGCGAAGTAGAAAATATTTAATATTGTCACGTAAACATAATGAAGTAGTAACTTTAAAAGTGAATTGATTCACGATTTATTTTAATCTAATTATTTCACCTATTTCGAATCGTACGTGTTATAAAAGAAATGTTAAGTAATCTAATTTAGTGATCTCAATAATTGTTATTATGAATGTGTGTATGTATGTAGTAAATATTATTAATTTTCAGCGCGAAAACTTAAAATTTGCAAAGGAAGGTAAAGATGATGTTGAAACAGAAAATGTGCTATGTAAAAAGAAAGCTGAAGAAGGGACGAGTAAAATTTGCAAATGCCATAATAAAATGAAATCCGCAAATACGGTATAAATAATTAAAAAATAAGTAAAATACATAAATTAATAGAAAAAAGAATAAGTTAATAGTTCATGAAAATAAAGCTGCATATATAGTCAAATAAATAAATAATTAAAACAAATAAATAAATGAATACGCAATGACTGATATTTTTTTTGAAAAATTCAAGAGTGTGAGAATATAATTAATTTATTTAGAGATGAAGTTGATTTTTGAATAATCATCAAATTTTGAAAATGATACGTTAATTCCTTGGATTTGTAAATGCGATCAATTTTTTTATCTGCAAGTGGTCACTAAGACAATAGAAATTAGATAAGATTTGATATATCTATAAAAAAAACATCTAGTGATGATTTACGGGCTAATAAAGAAATATTTTATAGAATATGTTTATGAATTTTAAGACTTATTAAATTTAGCACTTACAAATTATATTTTCAGAAAGAGTTTAACATAACAGGATATGCAGTCTCGCCTAACCAAAAATACGTCTTATTCAAAACGGACCCATTACAGGTAGTAAAAAATCATTAAAAACAATTAATTGAAAAACAAAAATAATATTGAATAATTATATGTATTTTATCTTAGGGATTCAGATATTCTGTGCAATTCAAATGTTTCATATTCAATGTGGAGACAAAGTAAGTAAAAACATTAATTTTTGTATAAAATTAATTTAAAAAGTAGTTTATAATTAATAGAAAAAGTTTATTTTCACAAAAAAGTTTAAAAATAAAAAAAAATTATATTTTTATATTATATTTTTCATCATATATTATATTTTTTTTATATCTAAAGGGAAATCGTCCACGTAGCAAGAGAAATGCACGTGCAGATGGCCAAATGGATCCCAGGAAGCAGCGGCCTGGTATACGTGCGAGACAACAACGTGTTTCTCAGACGGCAGCCAAATGGTGGCAGCAGGGAAATTCAGCTGACTCTGGACGGAGAACCGGGGGTCAAGTATAACGGAGTCTCGGATTGGGTTTACGAAGGTAAAATAATGGAAATTGTACCTGTGGTTTATTATGTGCCCTTGAAGACAGAACTAAACGATTTAGAACCACTAAAAACTCATATCCTGATGAAATTTTTATCGCAATTCATTAAACACATATTACTTTGAAAAGATTATGAAATTATAAAATAAATTCCGAGCAAATTTCTGAATTTTTAAGACAACATCTTCCTGCAAGTTTTATGAATATTTAATGAATTAAACTACTTATTAATTAATTTAAAATGTTTAATAGACTGTTGTACTTTTTATGAAACTGGTATCAATAAGTATTGTCTATATTTTTTGACATAATTTTGTGTTGTTAGAATTCTGTTGTATCTATTATTGTCATAATTCTGTTTAACTTCCAATTCCTTGTATCTTTTATATCAAATTCATTGCAGAGGAAATGCTTGGTTCTGGCGATGCGCTTTGGTTTTCTCCGGACGGTGCATATATCGCGATCGGTTGCTTTGACGATTCCAACGTCGACGAAATGATGTATTTCCGTTACGGAGAATCTGGTACTATTGAAAGCCAATATCCGGAATTGGTAGATCTGCGATATCCAAAGGTAACAGGAGAGAATTTATCATACAATACATAATAATAACCATGTGCTCAAAAGCATCTCACGCTGGTCTAAGATGTGATCATATTTTACCATATATTCTTACAGGTCAATTGGTCAACCTCGTTATTATAGCCTAACTATATATCATTTGCATCCTTCATCTTAGTTTTTTTTTCACCTATTGAAAATAGCTCCTGTTGGCCTTGTTCGGAGTCCATTCAGTATCAGACTACGAATAATAACGAAATATTTTATTTCAATCAGACTATAGATTCAATTATCCTTTCTCTCTTAGCCCGGTAGAGTAAATCCGACAGCCAAAGTAAAAGTTCTCCGTCTGAACGAAGCTCGTGGTCGTAATATGCCCTGGACGGAACTGACAGCTCCCGAACAGGATGTGGGCAAAGATCATCTGCTAGCCGCCGTCACCTGGGCCTCCAATAACGAGGTGGCAGTCACCTGGCTAAACAGACGCCAAAACTATTCTGTTATGCAAATCTGCAATGCAGGGACCGGAGAATGTAAAATGGTAAACAAGTGATAGTAATAGACATAAAATTTAATACAATACGTGAATACTTATTAACAAAATAATTTTCTATTTGTTTTTTAGCCTGAGTTCTGGCATGCTTGATCAATGTGTATTCTCTAATATTTCAGGAACTAGAAACTAGTATGCCTGGTTGGATCGACGTACGAAAAATCTGGTTTACTCCTGATGGAAATCGTTACATAACTATCAGATCTGTGCAATACACTGATGGATTTACATATCCTCATATAGTAGGAGCCGAAAGAAGGACAGAACCGAAACCAATAACCGGTGGAAATCGTACTGTCACCAATATTATAGGTTTCGATGCAGAACGGGATCTTATGTAAGTCAATTCAAATTGAATTTTACGCATATTCCCAATTATTTTGCTTCTACAAACTTTTTTTAATTATTAAGATATTACTCAGCAACATCGACTGAGAGCAGTACCCACCAAGAAATCATGGTAGCCGGCTCCAAAAGCTTGTCCTTGACCCGTCAACTTATGACAGAAAATGGTGATAAATGCAGATTTGGTAAAGGTGATTTTAGCAAAGAGTACTCTTATGCTGCCTTGACTTGTCTTGGACCAGACGCACCCTTTGTCGTACTTTATGACACGGTGGTAAGTAAAAGAAAGTCGGAACTTGAATCAATACTATTAGCTTGTATTTTTATGTTTTTTTGTTATAGATTTATTGTACTTATTTATCACATTCTATTTATTCATCTAAATACCGTTTATTTGCAGGTTATTTTTTAATAGATCATTATAAATAAATTAATCAAAAAATAAATCAATATAATATACTATAGTATAGTACGTATATATATATATATATATTTATATATATATATACATATATTTAAATATTTCTATGTTTAAAATAAACAGGTGTGACTAAATGCTTCTACATGACTAAAACATTTGTTTCTGTTCCGCTAAATTCTCGGTCGTGATTATTATAAAACATTGAAATTAGTATTACGTAATACCCTATGTGTTCATTCTTTATTTTTTATCACAGTATTGTACGTAATAATTTCGAATAACAAACATTTACAAAATATAACAGATTCAGGTCACGTTATAGCATTTTACATCGTTAGCAATTAAAATCTATAAAAAAAAATATTTCCAATATTAGTTGATGATAAAATTCATCAGTAATCCATATAAAAGCATTTACATTTAAGTGCTTCAGTATATCCAGAATTACTATTATTATAGCTATTACATCAACTCACTGTTTCTATAATTATTATCAAACTCTCTATTTAGAATGATGAAATACTGTCAACATGGGAAGACAACAAGGAATTGAGAGAAAAATTATCTAAACACAACAGACCGATCGTACGAGATTTGATCGTAAAAACTGAAAGTGGTTTCGATGCTCTTGTTAGACTCCAACTGCCCCCTGATTTTGATGAAAACCTTAAATATCCTATGATTGTGAACGTATATGCAGGCCCTGGTTCTAAAAAGATAGTCGATGGATTTACAGTTGGTAAGTAATTGAGTGATTTATGTAAGTTAGAAGTCAAACAGCAATCAATATTCAAGTACATCTTAATCTAGCAATATTTTTCTCATGGGGCAACCCAGTGGTTAACCACTCTTGTTTTTGTATTATTAGATATATATGTGGTAGTTTTGGCGTACCGATAACGCCACCGCTGGGCCCAAATTTTATATTAAATAATATTCTTTTGGTATTTTACCCTTTCAGGTTATCCTCAATATGTAACAACGAACAAAAAATACATCCATTGCGAGATCGACGGACGTGGCTCGGCTTTTCGAAGCGATGAGCTGATGTTCCAAGTAAACAACGCACTTGGCACCGCGGAGATTGAAGATCAAATCGCTATCACCAAGTAATTTATTTCTATTTTTAATTATATTATAACTAATATGTATTTATGTACATTATCACTATATGATTTTGCTTCATAATGCTACTAATTTTTCAAATATCAAAATTTTTTAAATACGTTTCAGTAAGCTGCCATACTTCAAAAAATTTTCACCTTCCCACTTCCATTGACAGCAGCTAAAAGTTTTAACTTTGGACCACTTTTGCACCATTCTTAAAAAAATGATCCACATATTGCAGTATCAATTTAATGTTTTAACCTTAAAATATGGAGAAATGGTGCAAAAGTGGAACAAAAAGAGAAAAAGTGTTCATTTTTTCATTCTTACTTCGCTGGTAATTAAGTAACAGTTATGCCATTCTCTGAGACGCATATGATGTAGGTTTATTTTTAATTTTTGAAAATAATTTAATTTTTTTTTATGGAGATTCCTATAAAATTTTTATTATAGGCTTTTACATAGAATGATTAGACTTTTCTGACACGGGTAAAAAATAAAACTATGTTAAAGTAAATTATATGCAGATTTCTCATCTATTAATATTGAAGTATTGGTTTTACAGACCCCGTTTAATTTATATCTAATTATGCACGCATGCAACGTGATTTCCAATAGCCCCTACTTTTCGATTAATGCATTTAATGAACCAAATTGGAACCGAGTCTATTTATTCTGTTTACTAACCAACAATCGACATTTGCAGGAAATTAACAGAAATGTTCCAGTTCATAGATTCTAACAGAGTATCGATATGGGGATGGAGCTACGGTGGTTACGCCACGGCCATGACTTTAATTCGGGACAAAGAGAATGTTTTCAAATGCGGAGTATCTGTTGCACCGGTCACCTCCTGGCTGTACTACGGTAGAGTAATTTAAAATATATTGGTTGCATAATTAAGAGCATGTTATGTAACATAAATTGAAAATTATTTTAATAAGAGAACATTAAAATTAATATTTGACTTATCGTAACGTGACCAATTCTAGGGGACAGAGTTCTATTCCAAAAAATTCAAGCGTAAGTGTTGGACGTGATCCAACTCCAGGTTATCTTTACAATTTTTCTGGTGAGAGCTTATGCTGATCAGAGTGTCCTGGCATTGCTCATTTTTTTTAAATCGCTCAGACAAACACATATATAATTTTTTACCTTACTGGGCAAAATTTATTTTAAATGCATATACATCTAGCTCTCAAAGATGCACCTATCCTTTGTGCCAAATACTTGTGCTGATTGAAATCTCCTGGCAATTTGTTTTTTAAACTTCTCAATAAATAAACAATACCGTGACGAATTATGAAGCATACAGAAATGATGATATGTAAGCATGCTAGGAATCATCAGTACAATTTTTTTTAGCCTTACAGGCCCACCGTTACCCACATGGTTGAGTAGCTCTTTGTTTATTACACGATTCATTATTTTGAATGGAGTATTAAAAAGTATCCAATTTACAAAATATTAAATACGATCTTCAAATTAAAACATTTCTCTAAATTTCAATTATTTCAGACACAATCTACACCGAACGTTACATGGGAACACCTACAGAAAATCCCGAAGGTTACAACAATAGCGACGTAACCCTTTTGGCCGAAGGACTGCGTAACAAGCGTTATCTATTGATACACGGAAACGCTGACGATAACGTGCATTATCAGCATTCGATGCAACTTGCGAGGACCCTGGAGTTGAAGGATATACCTTTCCAATCACAGGTCAGACGATAGAAACCTTGTAACATTATGCTGTTTAACCCTTTTGCTACAAGTGTCACCTATAGGCGACATCCGTTTCACGACCGTATTGCTTCAATATGAAAAACTCTGAGTTAAATTATTATTAAAAAAATCTAATGATAGAAACCTTATATTCCTGAAATTTTTTTTCTAAATGTATTACACAACTTGTAACATTTTCATCTATCTCATACCTTGCAGATATTTCAATCAATTTTATTGAAACAAATCATTTTCTATTTTCCAGAGTTATCCGAACGAGGCGCACGCTCTGAGTAATGTCCTTGCTCACGTTTATCACACCATTGACAATTTTTTCTGCAAATGTTTCATATGAAACAATTACAAATAATTTGTTAACAAATTTTCAATTTAAATTTATAATTTAACGTAATAATTAATAATTGTTCACATATACTGCATAATGATCACATAACTGTATACAAGTATTATTTTAGTTGTAATAAAAAAAATCGTATTTTCTTTATATATATTGGTTTTTCGTAATATGTGTTATTAATGTATAGAAAGTATATACTCTATTTTAATTAAATGTTAGAGAACATGTTAGACACAAAAAAAATAACAAAAATTATGCTAAGTGAAACGACACAAAAGTTTATGGAAAACGGTAAATGATATCACAAAATAGCATATGTACACAAAATTATAGGATTGGTTTATTTGATTATTATATTAATTAAACTAGAACGGTAAAAAACATATTGAATCGATTTGAAGTATAAATATACATCAAAATACCCAAAAATGCCATGTCTGAATACAAATCGAAATGAGCAAATATGTCTTTCGTCATACAAATAATACATTTAAATCTAAAATAAACAGAACGATTAAATAAATAAACATATACTTTAATTGAAATTTCTAGCAAATTCTATGATTATAATTTTCGTTCCATGCATTTCCCATTTCATTGAAAATAAATCACATTACCGACGTCATTTATCAGCTTTTCCAGCTTATGAATAACAATTTTAATTAGAGCAATATGCAAAACGTGCATAAAACATTATCCACCGGAAATTGTACATATTCTACGCATTTTGTGAATAAAAAAAATATTTATATGAAAAATATCGTTGGGAGCTTACTAAGCCGTCGGTTTACAAAATAATTTTCGAAAAATAAACGAGCAAATGTGCTATTGGTATGTGCCTTTGTACTACATATATTTGCTATGTGCAAAAATATCATTGGAAGCTTAATAAGCTGTCGGTTTACAACAGCAAAAATAATTTTTGTTCATTTTGATAGGTAAAAATATTTGTATATTATCATGTGCACATACAAGGATAAAGTAGTATAGAAAATTAGTAGTTTGCATATGAAATATTAAAATAAATATTTGTTCATTCTTGATGTTTTGTTTGCAGAATATTATCGCGTGTTCAAAAGATTTTAAAATTCATTAATTATGAAACTAAATTCCATTTACTGCAGTGGCTTTGAGTAATACGATTCAAGCACGTAATGTCGCCTACCAAAACTTCAAATATAATATGACAATGTTTTACAACTTTTTGCCATACCAAATTCAAAGTTTTGCTTCAACTTTGGACAATTAGTTTGCGGCATATAATCAATGCCACCGCAGGGTAATCTGCATAAACACGTACACAACAATCTGGAACGATTTTCTTGAAGAAAAAAAAATTGTGGGTGAATAATGATTGCTAGGTGTGTAATTATCGGCTATGAGTCGTTCCGCCGAGTTTTATTTTAATAAGAAATGTTTCACACAAAAATTTGCATATTAGGTCACGGTTTCTGTTTTCGTGAAATCAATAAAGGGTGTATGGGGATACCTAGATATTATTTCGGGCAATAAAAATATTCATTAAAATAAATTAAAAGATATGCAAATATAAGGAACTTGTAAGTTACAGCAAATATGTCTTTGTAATGACTAATCATACGCTTATGTCTCCTAATAAGTAATAGTAAATAATATCAATCAACGCCTGGGCCAATCTTTGTCAAAAACTAATCAACACACACTGCACACACATACACTTTTAAAATATGCCAGAATGTTCAAAATCTTTTTGAAACGTAAAGATATGCAAAAATGTTCATTTTTTATTTTTTTGCGATTTCTATATATTACCTAAGAAATTTTACATATATGCAAGCAAATAATATTTTGATATATACATATAAAGGTTCACAAGTTAAATTATGAACTTATATACACATATATCTAGATAACCACGCAGCACATAGGCACACATTCACGATAGGGCTCCCCCGTGAATAAGTAGTTAGAACTATGGGATTACATCAGAGTTCGCAAGTTCGTTACCTGCCTTGAGCAGCATGATGAAGTAGTGACAAAGGTTTTACTTGGAAATATAGATAGTTATATGTTTGCTGCATCGATAAAAAATTATTTCTGAATGCAGAAATTGTTTCATCTTTAGAGATAGGCCAACTGTTGCCATCTCTAAAACCGACGTTAGTTAAGACGAACCATCACAACATAAATGATCCGTAAGTTCTGATCTCTGTTTAAATAATATGTATAAAACACGATTATATAACTTATGAAACTGATAAATTCTTTGTGAATTACATCCACTCATATCATTTTTACGATCATCAACCCAATTTGTTTACGGCGCGGCTAAATATCGTGTACAAGCCGCTTGTTAAAACGAGAATAGCGCAATAAACACTCGAGGTGATTAAGACACAGAAACTGCTAGAGTATAATTTTAGAGTGGAGACATGTTCTATTTGAGTAAGAGTCCTCTAAAGAAGAATTAGTCACCACAAAGGCATGTTACTATATTAATAAAAGCCGATACGACATACGACACAGGATACAACCGTTTATATATTGACATAGGATGAGCTACTAGATGAAGTAATTAAATCTTGTAGTTAAAAAGAAGAGTATTTAGAAAAAGTAATTAACTTGCAAGCATGATATCATAGAATCATAAAACATCTAGTGTTTACTTTTTTTTGGTTAAATGTTTATTGAATTCACGGTTATACGATTGTAAATATTAGAGATTAAGAATGTATCAAAAACTTAGAGCGCTGTAAAAAATATAACATAAACCGAACAATAGTTACAGTCAAGCGCAGAAGCATTAGATTTACTTCGAAAGTAAAATAAATAAAAATAGTTTTTTTTCAATAATGGTTAAAAGTTTAACCAACAGAATCTAATGATAAAGTGTTTCCTAGAAGTTATATACAGTAATATGGTGAGTAGAAACTTATTTAAATGCGTTCTCATACAAATTAAATTACATGAGTATGTCCACATTTTTTACTTTCACAAGAAGTTCATACTCTCGCCAGAAAGTCTGATTTTCCTATTTCATGTTTTCTCGACATTTAAAGTTCTAATTATTTTGAGACCAAAATTGAAAAAAGTTCGTCGACGTTTTCTTAAAAACGGCTGAATCTATATAAAAAAGTTTGATATCGCCATTCGATGAAATCAGTTACTTAGTTTTTTCGAGACATCAGCCAACCGTGTGAAAATTTATGATATCGGTTCATGATATGGATAAAAAGCTGAGCTTTTAAAACATAAACGTATGTTTGTGAATTAAAGGTGTTACAAGTCTGTATTTAAGATTTAAATTAAAAATCGGAAGATTAGTTTTTATCGAAAGCAAAATTTTCATTTTCGAAATAAACAGTCAAAAAATTGATCTGATTATAAAAATCATTTCCCACTGATTGAGTCGACCAACAATGGTCATGGCATGATTAACATATCTAAAAATCTGTTTTTACAATTATTTTAAAAAACTATTAATCGTCAATTTCGTAACTATGTGTGATATTAGTATATACTTAAATATTATGAAGAATTTATTATAATATAATAATAAAAAGATAGACAATCAGAAAAACCTATGTGCGAGCCAATAAAATTATTATATTGACTGGCGCAAATCATATTATTTTTACCAATGATATGGGTATCAATTTTGGGTATTTTTATCAATGATATGAACAATGGGTATTTTTATCAATGATATGAGTATCCTAAGTACCGCGTTGCAGGTACATCATAGCATTTTTAAAATTAACTCTGGTTATCTCTCTATTCCAATAATAGACGGTTGCATATGAGGTAAAGGTGATCAGAAATAACCTTCTCGCCTGTTCGCCGTGGTCGGGGAGACCGACTCGACCTTTCGCAATGCCGAAAGGCTGCTCCCATCACCTACGCGAATGTCAACTGCACCATTACACAAGGTCAGAGTTCACAATCTACATTATTCGATACGATACATTACCCGATCACTTTATCACAGCCATTCTTAAAAGGATCAGTCGTGATCGAGAAGAGTAAAAGTTCAAATATTGAAACAGATTCGATAAAATTTCGCTCGATAAAATAGCACTACAACTTTTGTTTTGAACCATAACTACAGAAACTAACAGAAACCCCCTGAAGAAATAAATTTATTTATCTTCATATATATTTTCATAATACTGTCCCAATATTATAATACTAAATTTAAAAACTTTTACTACAAACGTCTTCTAATTTGATGTCCAAATCTTAAGTTTATGCAGCATTGTTGTTACTATTTATTTTATCAGATTTTTAAATATAGAAAAAATACATTTCTTTTGAATATTGAACAATTTCACTAAAAAGACGTTGATGCTTTACTTTAATGAATATAATATTAAAAGATGATATGCTATTGACGATACAGTAACCTGCAAATATGAGACACTATCTGAAAAAAAAAATGTCGAACATTTAATTTTTAAATTAGATTAACTCCAGGTACATCAATAAAATTCTCAAGCTGATATGCTCAAACAGAATGCAACGTGACTACGTGGTGCTGAAAAAATGCTACGTAGAATAAATATTGACTATTCATTTGCATTTTTAATAGAAACTGTGTAATTTCTGCATGGACAAGCGCTTCTGAACAAAGCATTTTTTGCATATATGTTGAACGAACGACGTCAAAGTAAAGTAGACATTGAAATTTGATTAGAATAAACGTAAAAAATGATTTTAATTCCCCTTGTTTAGTGTAGAACAGATTGAAAACGAATAAACTTGACCATTCGCCTACATGAAATAAAACTAACATGATTTTTTAAGAATATAATATTATAAAGTATATAAAAGTATTTGGAGAACAGCCTTTAAATATATAACTATATTTTATAAATAAATACTTGTTATATACGATTGATAAGTGAATACAATTGATAGCAAATTAAAAATTTCGTAGCGCTAGGCCAAAGATTTGAGATTACTCCCTTCAAGATACGTTTTACTTACATTTTTTATTAGAAAATTTTAGATTGTGTGAATGTTCAATTCATAAGCTAATGTTGTCAAGATATCGTGTTTGTAAATGGTTTATATGCGAAGCTTCATGTAATAATACAAAAGGAACTAAGGATTTATTACCCATTGCAATTATTGACGTGTGGGACCCATAAGTCACACGTCCTTTTATGACCGAATCAAATGCCTATGACAGCAACAGACAGAGAATATATATATATATATATATATATATATATATATATAAAATATAATTCAGCTTTTCTGCATTTATTAAATGTTCGCAAATGTTTACAAAAATGTTCGCAAAGATTTTTATACATAAGATTTCATTCATTCTTTATAATTGACATGATACATTAACTATGATTTGTGTCCTTATAGCACAAGATAAAAGTATAAACCGTCGATCAATTTTTTCTATTGTTTGCGGAGAAATAAATTTACATAAACCATTTTTCTTAAAAGACATTAATACATCCCCTTTCTGAAGAATGTTTTGCTTTAAACAACAGATCGATTTCACTCGTCGAAGTAACATAAGAGGAATAAAAGAAATCCTTGAGAAAAACAAGGCGGAATCATTACCAAGCAAATCCGGCATTTCCATTTCAAGCAGCACGGCGCGACGTCTTCTATTCGGATGCTTTTTTATAATAGAGCTTTTAAGATTTAATGCTTTCTTTTTGATTATTATTTATTTATCTGTTCTATAGAATAAATGATAGTATTTGGACATTTATTTATTATTTATTATTTACGATCTATAATTTATTTATTATTATTTATAATACCACTATTTCGCACAATAAATAACAATATAGAAATTCATTTTGGAAATAGAGCTTTTTAGTCGACTTATCGAGGCTTTATAGGGCGTTGCGTTATGAAAAGAATAAAATCTCAATTGTAACTTGCACATTTTTATTCAATATCTTCCAATATATTTTATTCATAACACCCATTCCTCTATAACACAAATTTGTCCCTTTTCAATGGTTCGTTTCGGAATAGAGCAATTCGTCGAATTCGACCGTTTGATCAATCATATGCAATCAGCAGCATCGGCTCGTGCTCCGCCTGCAATTGCCGGCCGGCCGGCTTGCGATTTATCGAGGTGCAACGATACTAGGTCGTGTCAACATTGACAAATTTCCTAACTGAGATTACTTAATGATAAGTCTGCGAACTATCGAAATGGTAATTACAGGAGCCATCAGACAGAACGATTGCTATAAGAATTTAAAATTTAACCAGCTCATGAAAATTACATTGAATTCTTAACACGATTTTGCTTTATCAATGGAAAGAGTAGGAGCGAATAAAACTTCGCTCATTTGAGATAAGTAAATTTCAGTGCAAGAATTATAACATTCTAGATCCTTCCCCCACGAAGTAATGCCTTATGGCAGTTTCCGTGTGGACCAGAGGCAACAGCAAAGCGGAGGTTTTAGTCGATTTTATACCCACCAGGAGGTATTGAGTTCAACATATCCAAACAAAAGATCAGTCTGGGATACATAAACGCATTTCCTTCGCTATACAAAAAATCCTTTTGCTTTTGTAAGCCGTTAAAAAAGTTAAATACTAATGTGTAGTCAGTTCTATACGTAAAATAAAGAGTTTAATAATAATTAAATTGATAGAATTTAATTATTTGTATAATGATTTACCATATGACTTTTGAAAAAAATTTATAATTCATGATTTATCAATAAAATATAATATTAACAGAAAGTCTATTGTTTGTTAAGTACATACTTATATTTTTTGCAAGGTTAAATTTTTTTTTAACTAATAATAGCCCTTCCCGGACATTTCTGTATCAAATTGAATAATACATAATTTTAATAATACTACCCATAAATACGACGTAATAACAAGTTTGGGGTCAACAGATCATAGGACGCAAGATTATGATTGTTGTTAAATGAGTATAAAAACATTATATTAGAGAGCTGAATGCAATGAGCCATAGAATAAACTGTGAGAAGAGATTTTAAACCACAACCACTGTATGTCCACATTGACAGTGTTTTTTAATTGGATAATTATTTTGGTCAAAGGTTTCCAAAATTTTTTGTGTCGTGAACCCCTTGGGCTCTGCCATGGATTCCAAGTGTATATTCAATTAAAAGTACAAATACTTATTACTTGTATATATTTGTTAATTGAATTTAAAAAAAAATATAGTTAAGCAAGAACATCTAATTATCGACGTTAGGAAACAAATTTATGAGGGATGATTTCTTATATCTGATGATATTCACTCTACATTTTTTATTAGTTAGGAGATCAGTAATGACGCCAAACTTTCTTTCTACCATCTATTTTACAGAGTATCCAAAAATTCTATGACAGTTCCAAAAAGCGCATATAATATTACCAAGCATTTCAATAATCAGCAAATTGGGTCTTTACAAGCTCAACCATATAGCGACCACAAATCGCTATTATGCCTATTTATGCTACAACCTATATGCATTTTTGTAAGTAAAAACCATATTTTTATTTCCATTTATAAATATTGTAATATACAAGACTTTTTATTAGAGATAGTATAATATAGGTAAATAGATATCGTGAACACCCTGGATGTTGTTATGGACCGCTGGGATCCATGTGGACCATAATGGAAGTCACTGATTTAGATAGATTAGATAGATTAATTAATTTTATTGTGTTTTTTATATGGTGTAGAAGTATGAATATATGCACATGCCTATTTATTCATTTTTAACAAATAGGCAAAGGGAACTAATTGGAATGATTAACTGAGTTCAATATAGCAAACGTCATGATGAATGTAAAACAGTATTTTATTTATTATTAAATCCGTGCCATTCATTAGTATTGGGTACAATTCGCAAATAAACAAGTGTATGGTACATAGAGACAAAAAGCAGAGAACAGAGAGCAAGAGAGCAGAGAGAGAGTGCGCGCGTAAAGAGCGGCTCGCGAAATGCGCGCGCCTGTTCAGAATAAGGTACCAGGCAAAGCGAAACAGTGCATGGAGAGAGCTGCCGAGTTCTAGTGTCTATCCGGGCGAGCCGGGTCACGGGTATTCGTGCAAAACTACATCCGAAATACAAAAATGATCTTCAGTTAAAAGATACCTTAAGACATCCCTAAAGACGCCGGTATAAATCAATTTTAATAGATTTAACAACAACAAAAAGTGTGATAAGTGTTAGTAGGAAACTTCTTGCATATGTTTATTACTAAGTTTTATTAATGCTTGTTTTGTGTCAGTGACTTTGTACAATTAGTCATTTGTTCTCTTGTTGTGCTGTGAATATTATCTTATAGTAATATCAAAATTAACACTGCCAAAATAACTGTTGCTTTTTAACAAAAAAAAATGATTACCCCTAAATAGATATACAAAACATCAACAATCAACGACAGTGTTTTACATAATTTACACTATATCCATTACCCATGTGTGTTTTATCAACTCCCGCGCTTTGTGTGACAATGGACCGCGAAGTGTTTCCGCCTGTGCCGGTTTCAGAACGAGTGATTGGCGACAATCACGGCGTCTTCGGCGTCGTCTGGTAGTGCAGGAATTGTATCGTGTGCAGGAGGAATATTGTTCTATTGTTTTGTTGTTTTGTCCACTCGGGGGACTTATCTCAGCTCGTCAGATCGGAGCGGGGCTTAGCCGCGAGGCAGCGAGTCCCGGGCGGAACTGTGCGACGGACGCCCGAGGGAGTGGAATGTGACGCGAAGGTCGAAGTTACACGGAAGCGATCCAGGTAAGGAGAAATAAGGGATAAATAACACATAGCATTTTATTTGAAAAGTATATGGTTTGTATATAAAACAGTCAATTTCTAGATGACATCAATAGAAAATGGCAACGTAAAACAGTTTACCTTAACTAAATTTGTAGAAGTTTTAACATTATAATACACTTTTACAATAACCTCGACAAATCACATGCACCAAAGAAAAAGTTTCTTAAATTTCCATTTTTCCATGTTTCAATGTTTTTGAACAATTTAAAATAAAAACATGACAAAAGTGTCTTGAAAAATAACCAACAAAAATTTTTAATATTTTGAGATAAGAAAACGACTGCATATGAAGCATATGGTGTACAAAACCCAAAGAATTGATATGATTTATATAATGACGACAGTCTTACCATTTTCATTTATTAAACCAATTTAAAAAACAAATAACTGCAATTAAACAAAAAACTCAATAAATCATTTAATTAAAACTCTTAAAATTAAAATAAAAAAAAAAAAAATAGAAATCGAATTTTTGAGTGAACGGAGCATCCAATTTGAATGATCTTAAAAACATTCAATTAGTAATGATTGGGAGAAGTGTTTATTAGTTTTTGGCAAAGGCAGGCCCAGCCATTTCAAAGATACGGAGCTAAATATGTAAAAAATAGCTGTTTTTGAGAGAATTAGGCATCCGATTTAAATGATTCTGCTTGTCTTAACAAAATAATTGATTTTGGAAAAAAAATTTTGTTTCAACTTTTTTTTTTTATTTCTTGTATATCGAAAATAATTGAGATTTTATTTTTAATTCTGACTATAGTTCTAATATACTTTACAAATAATTTCAACTTTGCAATTCAGTTTATATAATTCTTATAAATATTAGACAATGTTACAATATTTATAATAATCTGTTTGGAAACATTCAGTATTCCTCGAACATTTCGTTACGGCACGGGAGGTTCCAGCAATTTGCCTTAAGGCTCGATGCCACCCACCCCACTAGTTAGAAGATTCAGTCGCTTTTTTAAATTTTTCACTTTTTTGCCATTTGATTCTCCTTTTTGCGCCCAAAACCACATTTTTTGTAGACCTGTGTTATCTCATACACTTTTTATAAGATTGTCTATTATAATTAAAAAATTATTCTAGTACCTTTGTGAAATATGCATATTTAGGATTCAGTAGAGAACATATATAGGATGATATAATAGTTATCTAAAACATTAATCTTCAATATTTATCTTGAACTTTCAATTGTATTAGTTCAAGTACATGATATTACTACAATTACATTAGTCTCACAAATCATACGAAGTTCGAACAGAACATCTTGATCAAACATACGCCGGAAGACAAATTGAGCATATGTGCTGTTACTAATTATGTCATTAAAAGCAAATTAATTGCCAATATGAACAGCAGATATAATATCATTTAGAAATGCACAGATATGTGGATCAGAATAAATATATACTTCGTATTTTTGAGTGTTATTTTTATGTTTCTGAATATGAATAAAATCATTTTTTTCAAGTACTAACAACCAAATAGCAAATCTAACGAAACCAGAAAAATATTAAATGTATTTTTCATTTTTAACTGTATATATTCAGATAATTCAGTATGTATTCAAAAATTTCTAAGAGGATACGAGAAATATTCGAAAGCGTTTTGTCAGGAAATAACATCATAGATCGCTATTTGGAAAGTGACACACGACAGGCAGCCCAAGTGATTTTTTCTTATCTGTAAGCTGTAACAGTTGTTCGATAAGAGTTTCAGTAGACTTCCAAAGAGAATAAAAAGGGACTTACAGAATTTTTGGCGAGTTATTTAAATATACATACAAATCGAAATTCTTTGGGAGTATCAACTTTTTCGTACTTATTCAAATAAATGGCATATTTGCAAACATGTAAACATTGTGTTTTGAATGAATAAATAACAATAATTATTTTATCCATAATAGCAAATTTTAACACTAATATAAAGTGGGTAGTTTATGGTGCACAAGATTTTTCTAGCTAAATTATCTTTTACAGACTAACAAATAAAATCACAACGTATGATTTAAATTTAAGCTAATGAAAACATCAAAACTGTTAGTATTAGTTTAAAATCCTTCAAACCCCAGAAAGTCCAATACGTACACTTATATTTTATTAAAAATATTCGTTGATATTCGTTTTTCTACGCACCCAAATGTAATTATCCGTGTGTGGTTTATAAAAAAATATAAAATTCTTCCTGATAATTTATTCATTGGATTTTGTTGAAGCCAAAATAGGAGAAAAATATAGATATAAAATGTTCATTTGATGATGTGATAGTCGAAAATTATATTTATTTAATATGCAGTATATTTATATGCTAATTTTTCATATCGCAAAACATGAAACACCCAAATTTGTTTGTAAGTTAAAATTGTATATATTTTTATTTTATATAAAAATAATATGCATATGAGGTTTGAGCAACTATTCACACTATTCGATATTTTCATAGAGAAACCATTTAAAGTATTATACATCAATAGAAAGACCTCAAAATTCTTAATTTTGCAACAATTTGCTTCAATACACTACTCCACACGAATGTTTTCACAATTTTCCGGTCCTGAATTTTTCCGGTGATAAGTCCAGTGCTAAGGTCTACGTCATTTCACATATTTCGCGCGTTCGTTTCATGCCGGGATTACGTTATCTGATGTGAGTGGTTAATGTTTCTCTGCTATTTTTTGCACTGCATTTAAAATGTATTAAAAAAGGTAACGCCGCCTGCTTTTATGGAGAGCCATCAATCAGGTAGGCGATAACAATCGCTATCAGACCGAGTTGGCAAGGACGGAATTTTCTGATTTATCGCTGGTCTTGATTAAATGTACGCTTTAAATATATGATCAATTAATTTATATACATACATGTACAAATACGCATGCACATTAGACAAATTTTTGTTTGTTTGATCCACAAAGTTGCAAAAAGTATTTTTATTCTAATTTATAATTAATTCTTAGAGATGCCGATGATAGGCAACACACTATTTAAGTTTTTAGTTCACATCTTTTGATATTTAAATAAGTACATAATTAATAAGTTTAGGGTGCATTCGACTTGGACGCTTACGCGCTGTGAGCGCGCCGTGAGCGCGCTTTCATCGTTCGACTTGGCGCTGTGAGTGTGGCATAAGTACGCTCGTAGCACCATCGTAGGATGCTCGTAGCACATATTTTGCGCTCACATACGCTCACGCCACAGAGGTAGGGCAGCGTGAGCGTGAGCGTCAGTTGTTTTTACTATCTGTCATTTCATTTGTTTATTAATTGTCAAATTCATTATAATTCCGCAAAAATAGCAAGCTGTAGATCACAATTATTTCTTAATATTAATATTGATATTAATTAATTTTAAATTTAATTAATTTTAAATTTCAATTTTATTATTACTATTAATTAAGCATAAGCTAACCAAATTTCATTTATTTATTAATTGTTAAATTCTTTATAATCCCGCAAAAATGCCAAGTTGTATATCACATTTATTTTTTATTCATATTATTTATTTTATTTTATTCATATTATTTATTTATTTTAAATTCAATTAATTTTAAATAATTTTAAATTTTAATTTTAATATTACTATTAATTAAGCATAAGCTATCCAAATTCCATTTATTTATTAATTGTTAAATTCTTTATAATCCCGCAAAAATGCCAAGTTGTATATCACAATTATTTTTTAATATTAATATTAATATTAATTAATTTTAAATTTAATTAATTTTAAATAATTTTAAATTTTAATTTTAATATTAATATTAATTAAGCATAAGCAAACCAAATTTCATTTATTTATTAATTGTTAAATTCTTTATAATCCCGCTGAATGATCCAGAAAGTAATAAAATTTACACAATTACCGTTACCGCCATTTTGATGCTCATTGACGCTCACAGTTTCCAAAACGAACGGAATTTAGTTATCGATTCTGAGCGCTTATCGGCCAAGTCGAACGCTAAAAATTCGTGCTTATAAGCGTGAGCGCTCACAGCGCGTAAGCGTCCAAGTCGAACGCACCCTTAGTGTTTCCTAAACAAATGAATTCATCAAAACTAATAATGCTGTAAACAAGCTGTCAAATATTTGTAGTTACATTGTGAATAAAAAATCAAATATTAATAGAAACAATAAAAGCATTATAACTACTGCCATCGCTATAGAAATCAAATTTTACAAAATTTTGTAAAACAGATAATACGACGTTATTAAAATTATTTTGAAAAATTTTGGTATCTCGTAGATCTAATGATATACAGTTTTTAAGAACTGATAACACAATGTCAGCCGCAGTCATGGAAAAATATCTCTTCAATTTGAAATTTGCTGTAAAAGAATTGGCGCGGAACTCAAAAAGATGTGAAAAAGAAGAAATCGCGGAAAAAGCAAAAACAAAGAAAGCAATTCAAAAAGGCAATATGGAAGGAGCAAGAATACATGCTGAGAATGCAATTCGTCAAAAAAATCAAGCATTGAATTATCTTCGCATGAGTGCCAGAGTTGATGCTGTTGCTGTTCGAGTCCAAACTGCCTTAACTACCAGAAGGGTTACTCATTCTATGGCTGGTGTTGAATGAATTTGGAAAAGATCTCTTATCTAATGGATAAATTTGAATCTCAATTCGAAGATTTGGATGTACAAACTGGTTACATGGAAAATGCTATGCATACCACAACAACAACCACGGTTCCTCAAGGTGATGTTGACCAACTTATGCAACAAGTAGCTGATGAGGCAGGCCTTGAACTAAATATGGAACTACCTCAAGGAATAAGCTCAACTGCAATGGGTGCATCCACACAAGCTTCGCAGGAGCAAGAAGAATTGAATCAAAGATTGGCTAAGCACAGACAATCAAAATAACTGAATATATGAATTTTATAAAAAATTACGAAATATATAAACACAAAAATTAAAAACTAGTTTTAGTATACATTTTAATAGTTTTACTAAAAATGC